GTTCTATCCAAACGCTGTTTATTCTTCTCATCTCCCTATCCAATGCTGTATGTAATATGTTCTTTGGTCTTTATTTTTTCCTCTGGCCTTGAGGATTCCAGGTGAAGGCTTGGTTTGTAAAGCATTTGGGTGTTTTCTTCAATGCGTGTCCTATCCACCTTTAGCGCTTTTTCTTAATTTTTCCCTGAGATAGAATCTGGTTCACTCTCTCAATGTATTTCACTGATTTCAAGTACCATCATGTTTTATCTTTTCATTTCTACAGCAACTCAAATGACCCTCCAAGTCTCCCATAATGTACTAACATTTTATGTGCCTATATGTATGGTTGCTCTGGTTGTCGGAAGGGACATCAGCCTCATAACTTCTGAAAAAGTTCAACTTTTATCATGTTTCATAGCTCTTCTAAATGAAGACCTTCTAACTATCTTGATAGATTTTAAATAGTTTAAATCATATGTTCTGGTTTGCGTTTTTCTAACGATTACTTTCGGAAACATAACTACCGTCACAGTAAATTGTGAGTTAAAGTACTTGCTGTAATTCAGTGCGTTATGAAGATTGTGAATGAAACTAGATAGTATTTTCTCTCTCTAGTTTTTACTCTAAATCTCAACTACTGTTACACTCGTCTCTAGGTATGCTTAACACTATTACGGGTTCACCTTAGTCGAATAACGAGAACAAAACAATCAACCAGCGTCCAGGTAGGCTACTAGCAAGAAGTTTTGATAGAGCGTAGGAAGTGTATTCTACAAAAACCCAGCAAGCACATAATGAATCCAAGGACACAAATCGCGTTTATTTATACTCCATAGAGACGTCTTTGGGAGGGTCACAAAATAGCACACTAAAATGACACAGTAACCAATCACAGCCAAGGATTTTCCTGGTGGGAAATGTGATCCCAGGGTCAACTGATCGGCCCATGAATAAAATCCCAACCAAAGACATTTATCAAGCGAATTCTGGGGATCTAACATCCCCAACAATATATTGTATTATAGGTTCATGTCATGTCATGACAAAAACCTTTACACTTATTCATAAATCTTTTTCATAAACCCCAATTTAACCTGTTCAAATCTAACCTCAACTTGGCCTTAGTTAATGTCAAAACTTTTTGAAATGTTGACTCAAACTCATAACACCAATTCGACTCTGCTTACACGAATTCAGCGTTTCGCTTTCACTACAAAGAATCATCAAAAATGATTCAAATCACTTTAAACAAAAAATTTCACAAAATATTGACAATCGATATTGATAACCTGAGCCTTATAAACATGATAAACAGTGATAATAATGTAGTGAACGAGAACACAGGTGAGGGCAACCGAATTGTATTTATCTCAAATTACAGAGTTACTCAGTAAAAATAGGAAAACCATATCGTAAACCGTTGTCAATTTGCAAATCTTCAATCTATCATCAATCCATTGTCTGACATTTCACTCACTATTCATGCGTTTCATACAAATTCCATTGTGTTCTCACTCTTCCTAATTTCTTGATCTTCCCCCATCTTCTGCTGCCAGACATTACGTTGACACTCACGTCATATACTACTTATAAGTAGCGCGCACCACAATAATACTTGGCATTACAACAAAATAATAAACTAAACAAAGTAAGGGCATGCCAATGAATAAATAAACAAACGAACGAACATGCATTTATTCAACATTGATCAATATCTGTTCTGCTTTTTTTAACGAAATACTCTGACCAATCAAATTAAAGTAATCGATTTGTTAAACTGGAATTTGATTGGTTGAATGATGTTTTTTTTCTTTCCTGTTCTATGTTATATTGATCGATTTTGGAAAGTTTTCCTTAATTATTTGCATATATATATAAATAGGAATATATAAGTAGGAACAGATTGATTTTACTGGAAAATAATTTTCATAGTTAACATTTAATTCTATAATTCAATTTGTGATTAGTTGATATATTAGGGTAAGTTGAATATTTTGTTCTTCTCAAATTGGTTTAAAAGAAAAACTTTTTAAAATTATTTGATATTTTGAGTGATTATTAACGAATATGACCCTATACATAGAAAATCTTGTTGTAGGAATTAACATTTACCTGTGTAGTGAACGAGAACACAGGTAGGTCAACCGGATTGTATTTAACGAAAATTACAGAGTTACTCAGTAAAATCGGAAAATCATATCGTAAATCGTTCATTTGCAAAATATCAGTCCATCATCCATCGAACTGGACTGTTCCTGTTGCAAAACATCAATCCATTGTCACTATTCATGCATTTCATACAAATTCCATTGTGTTCTCACTCTTCCTTTCTTGATCCTTCCCCATCTTCTGCTGCCAGACATTACGTTGAGACTCACGTCATTTACTACTTATAAGTAGCTCACACCACACCTGTTTATATTACTAAAGTATTGACCTTTGACTTTCATGTATAAACAGGGAAATTTGAAAGGTTATTTGAATGCTCATTTTACTAGAAAAAATATTTCCGATTTCAGTATGTTGTACACTAGTTTGTAGTTATTAAAGTCATGAACTCGTGGTTGTAACTAAAATAATCATTAAAATTCACAGACTACTGAATCAAAGTTCCGTTTGGGAATATTGCTCACTATTTCATATTCATAATCCTATTTTGGATCGATCTTAGATGGCTCTCAGATTCATTAGTTCACAAAATAAACTACTGAAATAGCTATCAACCAGCACCAAAGTTAGGATTTTCAATACGAATGCCGAAAAAGGACTACTGTGTGAGACAGAAACTTGAACAAGCACAAAGATCATCATCCGGAAGATACAGGTGTTTATCTGCACCTGTTATCTGCGCAAAATACTCCGAATCCACTGACCAGACAATGTCAGCAACAACTAACTGTGGGAGAGATTCCGACGGAGGAAGATATTAAGAAAAGGCACTCAAGGTGGATAGGACACATTGTGGAAAGCACCCAAATGCATTACAGTGCAAGCCCTCACTTGGAATCACCAAGGCCAAAGAAAAAGAGGAAGACCAAAGAGCAGATTACATCCGGAGAAAGACATGAGACGAATAAACAGCATTCGGATAGAACTAAAGAGGAAACGAGGGGACAGACAGAGTAGGTTAGAGAATGCTAGTCGGCGGCCTATACTCTACTGGCAGTAACATGAGTGAGTAAATAAATGAGTAAAATAAACTACCAACACTGAACTGTCTATCTTAGCCTCAAAATATACAAGTCTGTTAAGAATTATATTAGTATAACATATATCTATGTATTAAGAAAATGCTGAACACTTCCATTAGTTATGAAACGTAAACAGAACTTTTAGATCAAGTGCTTCCGAAAAGAAAATAATTCGGAAATGAATGTATTTAACTGATTTTATGACGTATACTTCAGTTTATCAACTTCATCGACTACGAGAAAGCATTCGATAGCGTGGACAGGAAAACACTGTGGGAGCTTCTTCGACACTATGGTGTGCCTGAGAAAATAGTTAACATCATTAGGAATTCTTATGATGGATTCAACTGCAAAATCGTGCATGGAAGACAGCTAACAGACTCTTTCGAGGTGAAGACCGGTGTCAGGCAAGGTTGCTTACTCTCACCCTTCCTCTTTCTCCTGGTGATCGACTGGATTGTGAAGACGTCGACATCTGAAGGGAAGCACGGTATTCAATGGACAGCTAGGACGCGGCTGGACGATCTGGACTTCATAGATGACTTGGCTCTTCTATCGCACACGCAACAACAAATACAAGAGAAGACGACCAGTGTAGCAGCAGCCTCTGCAGCAGTAGGTCTCAACATACATAAAGGAAAAAGCGAAATTCTCCGATGCAACACAACATGCACCAACAAAATCACTGTTGATGGAGATGACTTAGAGGACGTTAACACCTTTACATCAGCATCATCGACGAGAAAGGTGGATCCGATGCAGATGTGAGGGCGCGGATCGTCAAAGCAAGGGCTGCATTTCTACAGTTGAAAATTATCTAAAACTCCAAACAGCTATCAATCAAAACCAAAATCAGGATTTTCAATACAAATGTGAAGACAGTTCTACTGTATGGAGTGGAAACTTGGAGAACTACGAAAGCCATCATGCAGAAGATACAAGTATTTATGAACAGTTATCTTCGCAAAATACTTCGCATTTGTTGGCCAGACACCATCAGTAACAACGTACTGTGGGAGAAAACAAACCAGATTCCATAGGAAGAGGAAATCAGCAAGAAGCGGTGGAAGTGGATAGGACATACACTACGAAAAGCACCTAACTGCGTTACGAGACAAGGCCTCACATGGAATCCTCAAGGTCAAAGGAAAAGAGGAAGGCCAAAGAATACATTACGCCGAGAAATAGAAAACGATATGAGAGGAATGAACAAACATTGGACAGAACTGGAGAGGGAAGCACAAGACAGAGTTGGTTGGAGCAAACTGGTGAGCGGCCTATGCTCCATTGGAGGTAACAGGCATACGTAAGTAAGTACTTCAGTTTATGTCAACAATTATTCATCAAGAACCTCTTTCATAACTACACACTGTTACACAATAAGCAAATATGTGATTGGTACTTGTAAATAGATTCATATTAAAACACCTAGAAATTCACACAATCAAAGAGTGACGGTTAATAAAATTGATTTCTTAATACAACTCAACACTTCCCATATGCGCTACCTTCTTCAAGTGACCAATTCTCTTTCCGTACGAATCGAAACCAATCAACCTAATATCACCACGTCAAAAACCATGCCAATATGTCATTTAAACTGTAATTAAACACTAAACTGAGCCGTCTGTACTCAAAATTTAGGAAGTCAGTGAGTGATACTTCAAAGCTAGCCTAATTGACTAAGGGAAACATAGTTTATTCAATCAGGCTAGTCGCAATTAGGCACAGTCTTTCAATGACAACCACACTACAAACTTTTGTTCATCCTTCTTATCGATCTGTTTTTTAAATTTTTTCTTTGTTTTTTTGAAATCTTTCAGCATTCTGATTGGCCAAAACTAAACTAAACTAACCAATCAAATCAAATTATAAATCAATGTCAACTTTAAGTCAACAACGTAAACTTGTTGAACAGCTAAGGCAAGAGGCAAATTTAAATCGTCGTCCTGTATCAGAATGTGTACAAGAAATGATTGTTTATATGGAACAAAATCGTGATAAAGATTGTTTAGTCTCAGGATTTGCTAGTAAAAAAGATAATCCATTCCAAGAGAAAGGTGGATGTGTGGTAATTTAGGACGATTGATTTCATTGAACGAAAAACACACACACACACACAAAACAGAACTATGATTCAATGTTTGTTTTAACTTTACGCTCTATTCTTCGCCTTCTTCTCCTTCTTCTTAGTATCACAGTTTTTTTGCGGTTTTCTAATGGAATAAACAATTGAAGAAAATTAGTTCAATGTTCAATTATGGTTGTTTTATTTTAGAAGAAAATGAAATTCTGTTGTTGTTGTTTTAATTTGTATTGCCCACATTAATATACATATATATGCATTTATATGAATAATAATAAGTATGCTTATCTTGTTTATCTATCATACTTTTACTGTTATTAATAGCTAGGAATCGCAATCAAGATCATTTGACAATGAACATTGAATTAAAACAACATGGTGGATGATTTATGTTCAATGTTTTTTTTATTACATTGCCGTTGCTTAGAATATGCCGATGACATAGTGGTCCTACTTGGTGAAGACGCTGACAAAATGCAGAGTCTTCTGACTACTCTAAGCAACCGGTGCAAGCATGTTTGGGATGCGGTTTTCCACCGTCGAAATGCAAAATGTTGTTTCAAGATTGGGTTGCATTGGCACCTGAACTAGTGATAGGGAGTGAAGTAGTCGAACGTGTAGACCGCTTCACTTATCTTGGGAGTTTCATCAGTGCCGGTGGCCTAGTGACTAATGAAATCTCAGCTCGGATACAGAAGGCTTGATTGGCTTTTGCCAACCTGCGTTACTTATGGCGTAGGCGTGATATCCGTTTGCTGACCAAAAACGACGAGTGTACTGTGCAGTAGTTCGCACTGTCCTACTTTATGGCTGTGAAACATGGCCAGTAAGAGTAGAAGATATTCGTAGGTTACTGGTTTTCGATCATAGGTGTCTTCGAAGCATTGCTCGTATACCGTGGGACACCCGAGTGAGCAACGTTGTTATTAGGAGTCGGGTGCTAGGTAAGAATGGCAGATCAATAGATGAAGTAATGAAACTTCATCAGTTGAGGTGGTTGGGACATGTCTTGCGTATGCCGAACCACCGACTGCCTCGACGAGCCTTGTTTTGTAGTGTAGGAGTAGGTTGGAAGAATGTTAGGAGCGGCCAAACCAAAACATGGTAGAAATCCATGAAATCATTGACGAGTGGACCTGGCCATGTCGGTAGTTGTCGACTACCACCTGGCTGGGGTCCGCGAGATGATAATAATCGATGGTTAGAGACCTTGAATAGCATGGCTCAAAATCGTTCGCAATGGCGCCGGTGCATTTATTCTTTGTGCTCTCAAATCCTAACCTTCTGGATTCTTCAACACCTCTAGTTTTGACTTTCTAAACTTTTCTCACCGAATCATACTTCTTGAATATTATCTTCTAATCCTAATCTCTCCGATTACTTCTAATACGCTTACTTTTTCTTTTACTATTGAATTTGAATTGACAATTTTATCTCTGTGTTGATGCGGTATGGCGACATGGACTGATGTACTTACGTACGAAGTTCTACGTTGCATCTGACTGACTGACACTGCCGTCGGTAGATTGTTTCATCTAGTGAACTTTTAATGACTTATGAACTATTTTTGAAACCATGAATCGATCAATATTAGACCACCATTAGAAACCTGGATGGCCGTTTCGTCCTCTGGTATGGGACTCATCAGCAGTGCGCATCCACTACTCCTGCACCGTGCAGGATTCGGGCCCAGGACCTTCGGTATCGTGCGCGAACGCCTAATTATCCGACCACTGAGCCGGTATCTAACGGTGTTAATTTCTAACTTGATCAATTCACGGAGTTGCGCAACCTCATACACACCCGAACAGGTTGAACTTCACTGGTCACGTCTTCCCACTAGAACTCGGAGAAGATTCCTCACGAAACTAGTCACTAGTGAGCATAGGTAATGTGCATTACGGGGTTGTTGTGAAGATTGTTAAGTTACACATTTTTGAAACCATGAATCGATCAATGAACTATCCATTAAAGTTGCAGATTAGTTTAAGAATGATATTAGTTTATTGAATGACAGAGTTCTGTATATTCACCTCGTGGTGTCTCATTCTCTGTGCGGATGATGTTGTTCAGAAGTACAATTAAAGCTTCACAACCAAAACATCCAGCTAAAACTTCAAATATAAGTGAAGTATTCGAATTTCTCCACGTTTGACCCGTAGCTTGTTCTGCTAACCTCGGTCTTGATTCATTGCGCTGTTGACATGAAAGTTGTCGTTGTTTGCAGTCTTTGTTTTGATTGTATCCCCCCCTTTTGATCGGTTTCTTGATCCTATGTCACCTATGATTATTCTGATTGGTTGATAAATTGGGTCAATGTCGATATCTTAGTTGATGACTGATTGACCTGAGTGCCAGTCAAGCTTCGAAAAATTCTCTAGTGTTCTTTTAGTTCGTCCCCCTATCCAGTACTGCCACATTGTTCCAATCGAATGTAATGTGTCCATTATTGTCGGTGTGTATTGATATAAGCGATGAATTGTCATGACGTTTGACTGCTAATCGGTGTTCACGTAAACAAAGCGGAAGGGGTCGTTTACACTTTGTCCTATGTAGTGTTTTTCACAGTCTCAACCACTTATTTTGTAGATGATATTTGACTTTTCTTCATATGACATTGACCCAAATTATCAACCAATCAGAAAAATCATAGGTGACATGGGATCAAGAAACAGATCAGAACGGGGGGGATAAAATCAAAATCAAGGCTGCAAACAACGACAACTTTCATGTCAACAGCTCAACCAATCAAGATCGAGGTTAACAGAACACAAGCTACAAGTCAAACTTAGAGAAATTCGAATACCTCAACTTTTTCTATCTGAAGTTTGTACTGATGATGTTGTTGTGTTCAGACGAAGATCAATGATGAAAGCTTCACAATCATCTATCCACCTGAGCTAGAAATTTTCTCCATCATCTCTATTCACGTCATTTAATCACTTATAAATGACCATGAAGGAGGCAGTGGATATAAGAACGAGTTACATAAAAGAATTAAACGAGGGTTAGGATATATTAGTTTTGGTTAGGGTGTAGAAACAGTAGTGATCGTTAAGTGTTGAAGTACCGGGGAAATACTTTGTGTTGATGATGTGTACTTGTGTAATTTAGTTACATATCTTCAAAAATTCATAAACCATATCAATTGTTTCCTAAATATCTCAACCTTTTTAGTTTGTGTTAATATCGCGCGGAAAAGTAATCAATTTCTTAAGTTAGTTTGTTTAACCATTAATATTGTGGTTGAAGTAAGCTGTTCACCATTGTTCTACTCTGAACTCCCAGAAACTCTATCTTACATCTGATTAGTTTTAGTCTGTACTATAAACCTGCCCTATGACTGTTATGCCCTGGTTTCAAGTTTCTCTGAAATGTTGCCTGTAAATTCTCACTGCTTAACTGGTGGCTGTTACTTCTCGTGTGAAGTATAGACTACCAACTAGTGTTCTTCAATCTACTTTGATCTGCCTTCGATTCCTGGCGTTTTGTGCACTTTGGTTTACATCTTTTCCCTGACTTTTAAGATTCCAAGTAAATGTTTACCTTGTGATGCCATATACTGACATCTTCAATGCATATGTCCTTTACACTATCAGCTCCTCCGTGGTTTATTCCCTGATACACAAGGTTGTTGCTAATGATGTCTGGTCAATGGATCCTGGGTATCTTGAGTAGATATTGGTTCATGACAGATGAAAGTTATTTTCAGATCCAGGTGTTGTTCATTTATAGAAGTATTGCTCATACTTTATCAGTCTGTCTTCACATCTACACCAGATCTCCCTTTATTATCAAGAATGTTACTTAGGGATGTCAAACTACACATCCCATGCAGAGGTTCTTCATTGGTTAGGAACGCACTGTGCTGCTGCTGCAGAGATTGTTGCTACACTGGCTGTTCCCACTTGCTTTTTTTAATTTGTGGAGGATAGAACAGCTAGGTTATCTTGGAAGTACAGATAATCTGTCTGAATCCTAGCTATTTACCTTACCCACTTACCTCTGCTGAGATGATGACTTCTTCATTATCCAGTCAAACACCAGAAGAAAGAGAAAGGGTAAGAAGACAAAGGCTTGTCTGACACCGGTCTTCACTTCGGATGAGTCTAAGAGCTTCCCTACATGCACGATCCTGCAGCGAGTTCTAACGTCAAAATTCCACATGATGCTGACTATCTTCTCAGGTGTACCGTAGTTTCCGCTCTGTCGAATGTTTTGTTGTACTCAATGAAGTTGATATACAGTGGTGAGCTACATTTAAGTGATTGTTCGACAATGATCCGTAGTGTCGCGATTTGGTCGATACATGATCGATCCCTACGGAGTACGGCCTGTTGTTCTCGAAGTTGCCCATCTCCTGTACAACAACATTGTGTTAAAGACTTCTCCTGGTATCTATAGAAAGGTGACACCTCAGTAGTTCTCACAGTTGCTGAGATCTCTTTTCTTTGGTACCTTGATTAGATATCCTTCTTTCCTGTCTATTGGTACTTGTTCTCCCTTGCAAATTTCGCTGAAGAAAGCATGGAACATCTTTGCAGTTACTTCCACGTCTGATTTTAGTGCTTCAACTGATAGGTTTCCCAATTCTGCTGCTTTGCCACTCTTGATTTGTATGACAGTCATACTGATTTCGCTGATTTCTGATGAGGTGATATTTATGAGAAAGTCTGTTGGCACTGATTCGATATTCGGTCGGTTCAGTAGGCCTTCTTTTTTCGAGACCTTTTTAAAAAGTTATACCCATCTGTCCTGCTGCTCTTAAATCTCATTGGTTGGCTTGCCTGCCTGTTAGCTCCTTTGTTGCATCATGCGGTCGATAACTCCATACCCAACCTTTCTCCATTATTCGGGCTTAAGACAAGCAATAACACTAAATGAGCTGCAAACCGAGTTAAACTCTTGCTGCCGATCGATAATTTTAAAAAGGTAGTTCGACGTTTACTGTGTTCGACTACCATTTTGTTCAACATTGTCTATATGTTTCATTAAAAACACAGCCAACTAACATGGAAAGCTAATTCAAGACGGGCCTGCAGGCGACTACTTGCAACCACGTCGCACCAAACAATATCGGGCATCCTATGATAACAACGCGGAATACAGGTATATCTTTAGACATTTGAAATCATCAATCAATCATTGATAGACCACCATTAAAAACCTGGAAGCACTGAAAGACGGCCGTTTCGTCCTGGTATGGGACTTATCAGTGGCAGTGCGCATCCACGACTCCTGCTCCTCGCAGGATTCGAACCCGGGACCTTCGGTATTGTGCGCGAACGCCTTACCATCGGACCACTGAGCCGGCATCCAATGGTGTTAATGTCTAACTCTGACTGATCTAGGGATTTTGCGCGACCTCACCCACTTGCCTTTGGTAGTTACTGCCTACACCCGACAGAGTTGAACTCCATTGGTCACGTCTTCTTAACTAGAACTCTGAGAATTTCCTCACGAAGCTAATCACTAGTGAGCACTGTTACGATATTTTGGGGCACAGTTTTGGAGGTTTGCGTTTCTACACATTTGAAATCATCTATGGTGGTCTAACAATGATTGATTGATGATTTCAAATGTGTAAAAACTCAAACCTCCAAAACTGTGCCCCAAAATATCTTTAGAGTTTAGAAATGATTTTTTTTGGAAAAACAAAACCCCCAACACAATCGAACACTTTTATTATCAAAAAAGATTAATGAAATCACTCCAACACGATCGATAATATTAATTATTGACCAACCAAGAGTAAATTCTGTATAAATCCCGCAGATAGAATAAATAGATAATTCAATTTTCAATCTTTTCAGTGGTCACTGTGCTAATTTCTTTCTTGTTTTCAACAAACTATTTGAACAGTTCGCCGGTGAATTGATCAATGATGACTGTTGAATTGTTATCGATACAATCGCGTCATCGTACCATTTTGTCGGTGAACCTGCACGATTGTTTGTCAAATGTGGTGTTGATGTTGGACATTTTAAAAATGATGTACCGGAAAAATTGAGAGATTTTGTTTGTGTTTTGACATTGCTATCAGCCTACAAGTTTTGATGAACATGAGAAAACATGAATTGATCAATATGAATCAGTCTATACGAAACGTTCATTTGTGCAAAGAGTTAATTTCTTAAAATTACGAATAGATCAATGTTAGACCACCATTAGAAACCTGCAAGCACTGGACAGCCGTTTTTTCCAGATATGGGACAGTGAGCAGTACGCAGGATTCGAACCCAGGACCTGGTATAGTCCAACCCTGTTCGGATTTGAAGCAGCGCTCACCGAAGACAGTGTATGAGGTTGCGCAAGACTGTGAACTGACTGAAGTTAGACATTATTACCGGCTCAGTGGTCCAGAGGTTAGGTGTTCGCGCGTAAGATCGAAGGTCCGTGGTTCGAATCCGGAGAGGTGCGGGAGTTGTGGATGCCTACTGTTGGTGCGTCCCGTACTGGGACGTAACGGCCTTCCTACGCTTCCATATTTCTAATCCTGGTCTAACTTTGATCGATCGATGATTTCAAAACGTAACTCAATAATCTTCACAACTTCAAAATACGAAGGAGCTTACGTTCTTTGCCACAATCAAAAATTGACAAGTATTTTATTTAAGTTTATTGTCAACTGGGTGTAGAAATTCATATGTATCCATCAAAACAGTTACACTGATGGAACCGAAAGGATAGCCTACCTCCCTTTCAAAGTCCAAAGACAAATGGACTAAAGGCCTTTAGTGTAGTAGAATAATTTTTCATACTCTGAAATCTTTCAAGGCGATGTATAAATGTTCAAGTCCCTATCTACTGAAATTTGCCACAGGTGTTATATGGCCATCAAATGTCTGAAACCAAATTCATGTTTTCAACTGATATTAATTACCCACTAAATCTGATCTCGATTAGTTCATTACACAACGATCTAAAGCTTGTCACCTCCTTGATTTCTAATCACTAGTTCAATATTCTGGAACGTTTCCGCATACACTTTATATATGTAATAGAGCGTTCTTAAAACAATACATGTATACAGTGAGAAACAATTCGAAGACTTTATTGATTCAAACGAAACTTCTATTCGTTAAACTTCAGTTTGACGGGGATATGGCTAGCGATGTCCTGCATGACAGGTTAGCGAAGGTGATTGGTAGGATATTCTAGGCAACCAATCTTGCATTAAGATTCTCTAGTCGATCAGTGATGTTCACTCAAGTTATTTGAATTGGCCTCCAGACACTGTGCATTTATACATTCATCTGCTTCGGTCGAGATAGCTAATATTGGGTGTACTCACCAAGCAACTTATTAGACAAATGAAAGGTTTAAATAAAGACAATACTTAGCTCTAAAATGGCATTGTGGTGGTGGTGTTTGGTTCTTTGAGCAGGATGTTTTGGTTGTGAAGCTTTCATCATTGTTCTTCTTCTGAACAACATCATCAGCACAAACTTCAGATAGAAGAGATGAAGCATTCGAATTTCTCCACGTTTGACCTGTAGCTTGTTCTGTTAACCCCGATCTTGATTGATTGCTGTTGACCTTAAACCTGTCGTTGTTTTCACCTTTGTTTTGATTTTTATCCCCCTTTTGATCTGTTTCTTGATCCTCTGTTCGCCGATGATTTTTCTGATTGGTTGATAAGTCGGGTCATTGTCGATATGTTTGTTGATGACTAATTGACCTGAGTGCTAGTCAAGCTTCCGAAAATTCTGTAGTGTCCTTTGTTCTCCCCCTATCCAGTACTGCCACATTGTTCCAATCGAATGTAGTATGTCCATAATTGTCGGTAAGTATTGATATAAGCGAAGAATTGTCATTGCGTTTGACTGCTGATTGATGTTCACGAAAACAAAGCTGAAGAGATCGTCCACTTTGTCCTATGTAGTGTTTTTCACAGTCTGAACAGTTGTTCATTTTGTAGACGATATTTGGTCTTTCTTCCTTTTTGTCATTTTGTCCTTTGATCTACATAGGATTGATTGAAGTGATTCTGTTGGTTTGTGTACCACACCTATTCCAAATGGTTTCAGTAGTCGTGCTGTATGCTCCGATGTCTTTTATGTATGGTAGGATGATCCGTTTATTAGTTCCTGTGCTTAATTTCGCTTCTGTTGATGATTTCGGTTGATGTTTTTCGATGAAGTTGCATGGATAACCGTTCTTTTGGAAAATAGTCACAAGGTGTTTTTCCTCGTATGTGACATAGGATCACGAAACAGATCAAAATGGGGATACAATCAAACACAAAGGTGCAAACAACGATAGATTTAAGGTCAACAGCAATCAATCAAGATTGAGGTTAGCAGAACAAGCTACAGGTCAAACGTGGAGAAATTCGAATACTTCACTTCTATCTGAAGTTTGTGCTGATGATGTTGTTCAGGAGAACAATGATAAAAGCTCCACAACCAAAACATCCGCAGCTCAGAGAACCAAACACCACCATCATCATCATCCATCCATCTGAGCTACAAATCTTCACCATCTAAAATGGTATGCCTCATGGTCATAATATCGATAAAACTGAATTATTTCAAACGACCGAGTGTATACCTCAATCGTCATTTTTCTCAACGGAGTTCAATCCAAATCTCCTAATTATATAACACAGAAGTCATAGGTATCTCAACACTCAACACCAACTTATGTGTTCAGAAGAAATTCATGACACAATGCAATCTCTTAGCTAACGTGGTATCGCAACTTGACTCGATATACATACGTAAAAAGTTCTACGTTGTAGCTGGCTGACCCATCATTGTGGAGTTTCGTTGTTGAAGCTGGATGTTTTGATTGTGAAGCTGTCATTATTCTTCTTCTGAACAACATCATCAGTAAAAACTCCAGGTAGAAGTGAAATATCCTAATTTATATATGACGTTTATGCTGATGATCTTGTTCAAAAGAACAATTATAGCTCCAAGAACGAAACTTTACCATAGTTCCTCAGTATTACAGCTAAGTGTTATTAAAAAAATTCCAGCGGAGGATGATATCAGGAAAAAGTTGTTAGGATATTCATCAAATATCCTAAGAGAATTATCTTTGTAAGTCTAATTCTACTGGTTAATATTATTGTCGTCCTGACTATCAATGTCACAGACTTCAATGTTGTTTCCTGTTAGACCTAACTGTATCAATACGCATTATCTGAAACGTTTTATGACCCGGACTCGGACCCGCATCCCTAGTCCGGGATCCTGATCCTCTTCTAGACTCGGACCTCATACTTTCTGGATGCTGGTAGAATACATGTCCAACTACATATCAAGTCTTCTTATTTTACTCAATGGGGGGTTCGAGACAATCGGATTAGAGCAGCATGTCGTGTCGCTGGATCCTCGATCCTCGCTCTCGTTTTCCGACTAAGGTAAACTCGTAATAGTTCAAGCGTGTCGAATGACATGTTTACATGGGTAAGTAACAGAAGCACTGGAAGTGGATAAGACAAACATTGAAGAAATCACCCTACTGCCTCACAAGGCAAACTCTCACGTCAAATCCTCAAGACCATAGAAAAAGAGAAAGGCCAAGGGACACATCATGCCGACAAATGGAGACAGACACAATTGGACAGAACTAGAAAGGAAGGCCAAGGATAGAGTAGGTTGGAGAATGTTGGTCGGCCGCCTAATCTCTCTCTCTGAGGGTAATAGGCATAAGTAAATAAGTAATTTAAAAAATTACACTCCCATTTCTTACTTGAAACCAGCAGTAAGTGCAAACAAGGAATTATGCTTTAATATCACAAAACTGATCGATATTCTCTGATTGATATTGATTTTTTAAAGTGAACACCAAACTATGATGTAAACTAAGTGATCATTAATCGTGAATTATAACAGAAAACATCGCTTGGAATAAAAATATTTCATATAGGCGGTCGCCACTAAACATCAATATTAGTTGAGATGCTCAGAGCCCCGACTACAGTGCACCAAGTAGCCATTATTCACCGGTATAGAATAACTCACTAAGTCTGTGCTTAGCATAGCCGCCTCATCCGATCGTGAATAGAAGACTAAGGCTGGAAATGTGGATTTTCGGGATCTTGATTCAATAATCTAAAAGATAGTGTGGTGCGCGCTACTTATAAGTAGTATATGATGCGAGTAAAAACGTAATGTCTGACAGAAGAGAAGATGGGGGAAGATCAATAAAAAGGAAGAGTGGGAACACAATGGAATTTGTATGAAACGCATGAATAGTGAAATGTCAGACAATGGATTGAAGATTTGCAAATGAACAATTTACGATATGGTTTTCCTCTTTTACTGAGTAACTCTGTAATTTGCGATAAATACAATTCGGTTGCCCTCACCTGTGTTCTCCTTCACTTCAATAGGAGCGAGATCTGCAAAAACTCTTATTCAATCCATGTTTTTTGTTTCGGGGAAAAATTCCAAAGTAAGTGATTTTTAAATTACTTAGTGTTGAGGACACATTTCAGTTGACATAGATTCCTGACGAAAAAGAGATAAAAAAACGTACCACCCTAACAACTGTTGCCAGGCGGTAGACTGTAAACTATTGGGAATTAATGTAACTAGGAGGTAAAATTACACTAGTTTATTAGGCTGTTTGTTGTTCAAGCAACCAAACACCAAGTCGGTTTCACTGGTTTTTGCTTAATGGTAAATTTAACGAAATTGTATATAAGGCATAACATTGAAGTCCAAAGGCACAAATCTCACCCTACAGACGAATATCCTGTAATCCCATGAACGGTGTTTACAATGAAACATGAATCCAGTGTGAATTTAGATCACTGAAATATCTCTGTACATGACGATGCAACAAATCCCAGGAAGACCGAAAAGCGATACCTAGTCACATAATACAAACGTCAACAAAGACTGATCAATCACATTCCTGGACTAATACAAGTTTCTGTAAGTAATTACAAAGAATTCCAGGAATTCCGAATGCATGTTGACGTAAACTTGCGTGATGTCATCGGCCACAATGGAAGAAAGTACTATGGTTTACACCTTGGCGTCCGTATACTCTGCCTTGAGCCCTTGTAGCTATGTTAACCAGTGGATAATAGCTGCCTAATCGAAAATGCGGAGTCATTACATACTTTTCACTAATTCAACAGTTACTGACAAGCGTTTAAAATAAAAACCAAACTCTAACCCAAGGAACTTACGGCCGAATATCTTTGTTTATTGAAAAAACGCCGTTCTGGCCATCTTCTACTTTCCATAGAAGTGTTATGTTTTTTGATTTTACGCACAGATTGCGGTTTGATTTCAACTTTCTGCTTTTGTTCGTCTGACACTTCTATTGGTTGATCTGGTTGGACATTTTGATTGCTGTCACAGTTCCTACCGGCATTACACTCCATCTGTGAGATTGATTTATTTTCGGAGAATTTCAAATGTTTCACTGATGTGTTCAATTTTTCTCTTGCTCCGACTTCATCTTGCATCTGCTCATTTGTTTTCTTCAGTGAAGATTTCTTGCCGCCTTCCTGGTCGGTTTCCTTTAGTATCAACAAATTATCATTATTCGTCGTTTCAGCTGATTGACTAGTAACTTCACATGGACCGGAATTTGTAGAACCATTGGCAATATTCATAGACTCATTACACGTCACTGATAAATCTGATTCCTTATTGGTGCCGTCTGTTAATTTACTTGTGTTAGACACATCGTGATAACTGTGTTCACAGTGTTCAAACTGTGTAAGTTGTTTAAATTTACCATTGGAACTATTCTGTCGCATATGCTTCGGTCGATCAAAACGTATCACTGGTATAATGCTTAATTCGTGTACTTCACTAAAATGTATCAGAACATCACTGGGAGTGATCAGCAATGGACCGTGGACTTGATGATGATGCTCTCGATTGGATAAATTGACTTGACTGGTGTTTTCACACAATGAACTGTAATCAACAAAATGTGTGTAAACATGAAAAGTTGACTTCTTTATTACAAATAAATAATCATTGTGGAGTCGAATAAGAACATTCACTTGTCAAACGGATTTCGGAAGTCAATCAATGCGATCGTATTGCACAACCTACTCAAATATTAGATCGTAATTGTGTCTGACATGGAAGCGTAGCTAACTGTGTATATACTGAATTATTTCAAACTTCCGTGTTGCAATTAGAAAGTTTCCACCTCACCTCCATTTAGCTTACCTATATATGTAGTCAGGGACCATATAGAGGTCCAGATGTTAGGCGTTCGCATGCAAGATTGGAAACTGTGGACGGCCGTTTTGTGCTTGTATGAGGGAACTCAGATTTTAACAATAGTGAGCATCCACCACCCTCGCAGTCATTCAGTCAGTTGCAACGTAGAACTTCGTACGTATGTACATAAGTTCAGGTTTCCATACCACACCACAACAGAGACGCAAATGTCAAAGCAAATTCCATAGTGATAAAGATAGTAGAGGTGGTATTAATGGTAATGAAGAAGACTAGGGTTTGAAGATATTATTCAAGAAGTATAATTCAGTGAGACAAAGGTAGAGGTGCTGACGAATCCAGAAGATTAGTATTTGAGAGAGCAGAGCGAATGGATGCACTTGCGTCATTGCAAACGATTTTGAGCCAAGTCGTTCAAGGTCTCTAACCTTCGGCGACTTTCGTCTCGCAGACCCCAACCAGGTAGTCTACATCTACCAACATGACACAGTTCACTTGTCAGTGACTTCATGGATTTCTGCCATGTTTTGATCTGGCCGCCCCTAGCTTTCTTCCAACCTACTCCTACACCACAGGACATAGCTCGTCGAGGCAGTCGGTGGTTGGGCATACGTAACACATATCCCAACCACCTCAACTAATGAAGTTTCAATACTTCATCTATCGATCTGCCATCCTTACCTAGTACTCGTTTCCTAACGACAGCATTGCTTACTCAAAATGACCATCCAGTGCTTTCAATTTTCTGATAGTGAGTGATTCAGCGAAGATCATTTCGTAAATACCAACCATAGAAATTTACTATGATGACTCAACACACAAAATTCATAACCGAAAAAATTAAAATAAAATACTTACTTCCCTGAATTGCCAAAATTCATTTGATTTTGTAAATATTCCGATAACAAATTCCCTCGTTTACGATGTTGACTTTGTAGTTTCGATTCGGTGAGTGCTAGAATTTCCGCTGGTTTCAACGTGGAAATTGTTCGTTCATGCACACGTAACGGATCGAAACTAATCACATTACGCATAATAAATGATCTCTGATCTTCAGCTATACTAATCAACTGACCTAAATGAATCAATATACCATTTTTACGTGTAACAACACGTATAAATGGACATGCATTGCTGTCTTGTACATCATTCATGTAAGTTGCTGTATGGTTGCTGTTGTTATTATTAGTATTTTTGTTTGAACTAAATATACTTGCAGCCATTTGTGAAATACTCACACATTTCGATGCTAATCCATGATAAGTTGAATTCAACGAGGTACCGGGTAGATCATCTGTTTGTGTAGCTTTATCCTCTTTGTACAATGAATGAATTGGTAATTTCAAGGCAGACAAAGCAACAATCACTTTTAAAATTTCTTGTGATAGATTTATTCTATTCGGTAGACAGCTTGTGGATTGTTCATCCATGTAAGTGGCTTGTTGTTGCTGTTGTTGTTGATTCCTAGCATTGATCAAGTTGTGGATTGTTTCTTGAAGTACTTGTGTCTCGTCAATGAATGTTGTAGAGATTTCATTCATCTGTGTTCAAAAGAAAAAGTTGCCTTATACAAATACTAACTGAATATATTTACAGATTTTGATAAATTTAGTAAGTTTATTACCCTGTCCAGTCAGTCAGTCAGTTGCAACGTAAGAACTTCGTACGTATGTACATAAGTTCATGTTGCCAAACCACATCACAACAGAAACGCAAATGTCAAATCAAATCCCATAATGATAAAGATAGTAGAGGTATTAATGGTAATGAAGAAGGCCGGGGTTTGAAGATATTATTCAAGAAGTATAATTCAGTGAGATAAGTTTAGAAAGACAAAGGTAGAGGTGCTGACGATTCCAGAAGATTAGGATTTAAGAGAGCTCAACAAATGGATGCACTTGTGCCATTGCAAACGATTTTGAGACATGTCGTTCAAGGTCTCGAACCATTGGTGACTTTCATCTCGGGGACCCCAACCAGGTAGTCTACATCTACCAACATGACTCAGTCCACTTGTCAATGACTTCATGGATTTCTGCCATGTTTTGGTTTGGCCAACCCTAGCTTTCTTCCAACCTATTCCTACACTACAAAATAAAGCTCGTGGAGGCAGTCGGTGGTTAGCCATACGTAACACATGTCCTAACCACCTCAACTGATGAAGTTTCATTACTTCATCTATTGATTTGACATCCTTACCTAGTACTCGTTTCCTAACCACATCATTGCTTACTCGGTTGTCCCATGATACACGAGCAATGCTTCTTAAACATCTATGATTGAATACTAGTAACCTACGAACATCTACTCTTAACGGACATGTTTCACAGCCATATAGGAGAACAGAGCGAACTGCTGAGCAGTACACCCGTCCTTTGGTTAGTGAATGGATATCGCGCCTACACCATAAGTGACGCAGGTTGGCAAAAGCCAATCGAGCTTTCTGTATCCGTGCTGAGATTTCGTCAGTCACCAGGCTATCAGCGTTGATGAGACTCTCCAGATAAGTGACTCGGTCTACACGCTCGACAACTTCACTCCCTATCATTACTAGTTCAGATGCCGATGCAACCCAATCTTGAAGCAACGTTTTACATTTTGAGGAGGAAAACCGCATCCCGAACATGCATTGTTGCTTATGGTAGTCAGAAGACTCTGCATTTTGTCAGCGTCTTCACCGAATAGAACTATGTCATCGGCATATCCTAGATCAGTAAGCGACTTTCCTGGTAGAAGGTGAACCCCTGAAAAATCTGATGAGCTTAATGTTAACTCTAAGAGGATGTCTACGACAAAGTTAAACAAGAATGGAGAGAGTGGACAGCCCTGACGGACAGCACTTGATTTAGAGAATTCAGATGACAGTTCGTCATATGCTCGCACCCGACCAGTAGCGTTCGAGTAGAGAGCTTGTATAAGGTTAATGTACTTCTTTGGTACACCTTTCAATGACAGACACTGCCACAGAACCTTGACCCTGTCCAGGCTATGTGCTAGTCAACAATCGTAAACAAGGCATAGTTGTTACAATACTCAGTGAAAAATCGTATCCGCTAAACGGATTCCAATCGGGTTTGTCCACTGTCCCATCCTTGGAGACACTGTCAAGCATAGTTATCGATCAAAACTTACAAACTCAATCACAAATATGATACAAACAGGTTAAACTTATCGGCATATATCATCATCATTACATGTCCGTCGAATCGAAACATTTGTTTTAAAAATAGAGTTGATTAACTAGGGTTAGTTCGTATGGAAAATTTACCATGAGAACAAGTAAATAAAACAGTTTTTCCAGTAATTCATAGAGATACCTCCACACTGAAACATATACATGTAATTGCATAGTATTTAAATTCAACTTAAAAAGATTTTCGATTGAAATATGGTCATCGAAATCACCGTTAGAAACCTATAAGCACTAGAAAGCTAATTTGTCTTAGTATGGGTCTATTCGGCAGTGAGCACCCACGATCCCCACCTGAGAGAATTGATCTCAAGACCTTCGGTCTCACGCATGAATGCTTAACCTTTGGATCATTGGATCGACATCCAACGGTGTTAATGTCTAAAGTTTCGGCCAATCTCACTCATCGCCCTCAGCAGTCGCTGCTTACTCTAGACAAGATCGAATTCCACTGGTCACATCTTCTCACCTAGAACTCCGTGAATTTCTTCACGAAGCTAGTAGTCACTAGTGAATACATTTTATGATTTTTCAAGATAGAACAATCAAGATTGAAATTACGAATCAATCACTGAAACGGTCATACATTGTTTCCAGCTTTCTAATGTTGGTCTAACAATGATTGATTGACAAGTGCATTGTTGAACAACTACCTACATAACTCAGTAATGAGAAATTCAGTCAGTCATTTGGATAACCTGAATCAATTTCTAAATTTTTATTACTAAACCTAATCAAAAGTAAAATACACGTTTAGTATAATTTAGCATAGTCGTATCATGGTGTGCTTTACATATGTCGAAGTATGTTAAATTGTTAGGAACTATTTCCTGTTCATGAGGTTATTTCTTATTACAGTATATATATATATATATATATATATATATATATATATATATATATGAAAAGTTGGAGAATGGAGAATGCTGGTCAACGGCCTATGCTCCATTGAACGATAACAGGCGTAAGTAAATTGAGAAGTTAAATTGATTTGGGCCAGAGTTTTGGAGGTTTGTGTTTTTATACATTTAAAATCATCAATCAATCATTGTTAGACCACCATTAGAAACCTGGAAGCACTGTTGAGACGGCCGTTTCGTCCTGGTATGGGACTCATCAGCAGTGCGCATCCACGACTCCTGCTCCTCGCAGGATTCGAACCCGGGACCTTCGGTATTGTGCACGAACGCCTAACTGGGCCAGCATCCAACGGTGTTAATTTCTGACTCTGATAGATCTAGGGATTTCGCGCGACTTCATCCATTTGTCATTGATAGTTACTGCCAACCCTGGACGAAACGGCCGTCCAGTGCTTCCAGGTTTCTTATGGTGGTATAACAGAGAAGTTAAAAGTCATAATACTCTCTGGGCTACATTTGTCACAACTAACCTTAGCTAACGTGTCATTATCAATCAAGCAGAGCAAGACACTTGACTCGTCTTATTATAAAACTCCGAAACAGTCTACAACTATCCATCCCATGAGTTCAACAAACAGATCGGCACCTAAAATCTTCTAATCTCTTTCAGAGAACACAAAAATTTTTCCTAACTTCAAAACTTCAAAAAAATCCACCGAAAATCTTCAATCAATGTAAAATGTACATTTTCATTCAATGGCACAAGAACCGATCAATGTTAGACCACCAGCGGTTTCGCGCTGGTATGGGACTCCTCAGCAATGCGCATCCACAACCCCTGCACCCCGCAGGATTCGAACCCAGGACCTCCGGTATTGTGCGCGAACGCCCTAACCGTCAGACCACTGAGCCGGCATCCAACGGCGTTAATGTCTAACATTGATCGATTCATGGTTTCAAAAATGTGTAACTTAACAATCTTCACAACCCCATAATGCAAAACAAGAATCAAAACAGACAATCACTTACTTTTATTGTTGATTTCTTCAAACTGCGTGTGTATGTGTGTGCGTGCGCGTGCGTTTTAAATTGAAACAAAACTACTAATGAAGAGTACTGTGAACTACTACAGTAATATTTGTATTTTCTTGTAACTAGAAATGTCGTGGCATATTAATAATAAAAACTAATCATCGCTGAGTTGTATTCAAACATATGAAATTTGATTTATGACCCCTTAAAATAATCAATAATTTGAGTTATCACATTGATCCTAATCGATCGGATAATAATAATATTTGGTTGTTTAACATTGATCGATTTATGATTTCATCGGTAAAACTCAACAATCTTCATAAAACTATAATGCGAAAATCCAGAAATGTGTGCTTACTAATGAGAAGACATGACCAGTTTAGTTCAGCCCTATCGAGCGTAGGCAGTAATTACCGAAGACAATGAGTGAGGTGGCTCAAAATCCTTAGATTGATCAGAGTTAAACATTAACACCGTTGGGTACGGGCCGGCTCAGTGGTCCATAGGTTAAGCATTCGCGCTCTAGGTCCTGGGTTCGAATCCTGCAAGTAGCATGCATTGCCACTGATGAGTACCAACCATACTCGGGATGAAATGCTCATCAAGTGCTTTCAGGTTTCTTTTTAATGGTAGGTAGTCTAACAATATTTTTTTCGCAGCCGAATCGATTTGAATCTCACTTTATAAAATGTTGAGAGTTTGTTTTTTTAAAGAGCTACTATTTTAAACAAATTGAAAAAGTCTATGAAACTTATTACATGAAACATTGTGTGTAATTTTGTTGAACTTCTTGTGGGAACATATACTATTTAAAAAAATAGTATTGTCCGACCGATTTCACTGAGTATTTTGTATGTTCAAGTATTTTTATTAACCAGACGTTTAGATTAGAATGACAGTGGAGATTTTTTTGAGTTTATGATTTTGAATTTGACTGTCGGATTTGGTCGTGTGTACACACACAGTAGTGAATTAATAACATTGTACGCTCGATTTTGAATTCGTTTTTCTGGTTAGCGTTTTTTTGGCAAGTTAGTTTTTGATGGGATGGGGTCACCAACGCTATGCCCAAACTTCCTCCTTTATTCAGGCTTGGGACCGGCAGTAGCGCCGAAGGTTCTATTGGCGGAGTTCTGTATGGAGCGGAAATTTGGAAAACTACGAAAGCCATCATCCAGAAGATACAAGTGTTTATTAACAATCGTCTACGCAAAATACTTCAGATCCATTGGCCATACATCATCAGCAACAACGAACTGTGGGATAGAACAAACCAGATTCCAGTGGAGGAGGAAATCACGAAGAGCCACTGAAAGTGGATAGGACACACACTACGAAAAGCACCTAACTGAGTCACAAGACAAGCCCTCACATGGAACCCTCAAGGCAAAAGGAAAAGAGGAAGTCCAAAGAACACATTAAGCTGAGAAAAAGAGAAAGATATGAGAGGAATGAACAAACATTGGACAGAACTGGAGAGAGAAGCCAAGGACAGAGTTGGTTGGAGAAAACTGGTGAGCGGCCTATGCTCCACTGGTGGTAACAGGCGTAAGTAAGTAAGTAAGTAAGGCTCGATTTTATACGATGTCCAACTGAAGACAGTTTATGATGTTAAATGTCCTCAGATAGAAGTCATTGTAACTACTGACTTGAAAATATCTTTACGCTAATTGTTACTCGGTTTATAGTAGTTTCAAAGTTGGTTTTTTTTCACTAACCATCTCATTCGAGATCTTGCTTGTAATGATGTTTTGTTCGCTGAGCTGAATGATTTGGTTCTTCTGAACAAACCTCAAAATAAGTTAAACGAATTTGTATTTGATTATAGAGATTTATGTTTAAAAATTACTCAATACCATACTTTCATACTTGAAATCATGAGCTGATCAATGTTAGCCCATCACTATAGACCTAGAAGTACTCGATGACGGTTTCCTCCTAGTATGAGACTCGTCAGCAGCGCGCGTTCGCGACTCTAGATAATTTGTACCTGAGTTGGATTCGATGTCAGGCTTACCACTTTTTGTTAGCGTTAGATTCGGAATGGGGCTCATTACTTTTTTTGGCCTGTGAGCTCATTCCTTTAGTTACGAACGTTTGAGTAGGATATGAAATAAATCTTCCCTTCAGTCCATGTATATCATACTAAGGAGAACTCTGTTTGTGTGACGACGGTAATAAGAAGAAGCCAGATATGGATGAGGTTAGATGAGTTTATTTCAAGCAATCGTTCATACAGACAGACCATGAGAATATCAAGGCCTAAAGAAAAGTGGAGATTGGCGAGCAAACCAACTCCGTGTACTTAGGCATGACTAACAATTTATGGTCTGACAAAAATAAGCCAGACATGCTATAACGGAAGTGAGCAATGCACACACGTACTCAAATGAAAACGATCAACATATCAACGAATGGTTGACAAGGTCAAAAGACGAGAGAATAATAACTGGGGCAGAATGGACGAGTTAATTTGTCTGAAGTCTAGGGACAAGCCTTTCGGACTCGACGTAAAAGTACACAAATTCTTTTTAACGATACTTGAGATGATTAATTGACATGACCTAAATAAATCGATAAAAGGTGTTGTTGTATAGACTTCCTGATCAATATGCCATTCAAGATCTATTCTAGTGATCAAACGTGAGATATTTAAGTATCCTGAAGGCTACAATACTTTTGGTATTCTGTGATTCAGAAAGTGCGCAACCATCCTTAGAATACCGATTGTAACCTCTTCACTACTGACTTTGTCTGATAAGAAAATCAGATGTATTTCTAGCAAGAAACTGTCCGTGGTGAAACAGCTTATCGCTAATGTCAATTACTCACTTACTTACGCCTGTTACCCTTATTCGTAGAGCATAGGCCACCGACCGTCATTCTCCAACCGACTCTGTTCTGGGCCTTCCTTCCTAGTTCTGTTCAACTGTTGTTCATTTTTCTCAGGCATGTTTCCAATTCTCGCTGCCGCGTATTCCTTGGTCTTTCTCTATTCCGTTGGCCTTGATAATTTCAGGTGACGTTTTTCTTTGAGATGTTGTTCGGTTCTTTCCTCAGTCTGTGTCCTACGCACTTCCAGTGCTTCTTCCTGGTTTCCTCGCCCACTGTAATTTGGCTTGTTCTCGCAACTGACAATAGATAAGCTTATTCTATCTATTAAATTGACTACAACAGATCAGTGTGCACAAATCATTGAGTAACTAAAATCTTTGAATTTGACCCATTGTTACGTCACTGTTGTACAGTTTTGAAGAGTATCGATATATTGAACAAAACTACTGTTTAGTGAGTGCTTCCTAATTTTCAACGAACTGTTTTCTTCCAGTACGATTCTCATCAGATGGATATACTTTCATTCTAGTGTTAGAATTTTTAATCTCGGACTTGAACTCAAACACTCTAGAGATCATCAATTAATTTAGAATTCGGCTAGAGAATGACATGGGAGCCGAGACCTGGCGTGAATATCAAAATAAGTACAGAGATATGTTCACTGGCATTTATGCTGATCAATAACTGTTTGCTGAAAAAAGTATTTAGAAATATCAATTGCGATGAGCAAATTAGTTCTCATTTAGTTAGAGAGCCATCGTAATTCAGCACTCACTTTCTCACCAGACGTATTGCATTGGAATGCTAATGTGAATCCTGTATAAATATTCATAACTGAACGATAATCGATGAAATTTTACAGCCGATTCAAGAATCAGGTGGTCGAAGACATTGATCAGGGAACTTTTTTCAACAGGAGGTTATAATAGTTGGCATTCATCATTAGAAAACATCAAGAACATAAGGAGACAATTGAAAGTCCTCTTTGACTCAAACTCATTTCAGCCACCATCACAAATGATGACGTCTACCTTCAGCTATTAGGATTCGACTGAGCTAAAGAACCTTGAACAATGATCGGCTTCATGTTTGTCTTATTCAATCAAGTCACAGTACAATAGTTTCAAGAGGTTATACACTTAAAGTTTTATTCCTAGATCAGTTACAAATTTCATCAACATTGAACACTAGAAAGCCGTGAAGTTAATCACTGTTCAAGGATCAGTTAAGTTGCTTATTTCATAAAGTTAGTAAACAGAGTAAAAATTTAGTGTGATAAAAATTTCAGAAACAATCTTTTTTTCAAGTGTTTACAGAGAAAAATTCACTACCATACAGAATAAATTTACTCACTGTAAGATGATAAGTGACGTAATACAAACCATTCACCTACTAAAAGAATTGATCTAAAGCAATGATTTATCAAAACGAAAAATGATTGGAGTGATGTAAGGGACACGGAGAAAAATATGAAGAAATGTTAAACGAATTTGTTTGAAAAAATTTGCACGACTGTACAAGCTAATCAAATTGAGGATAAAGAGAGCATATAAATGTGTCATAAAAGTGTAATAGTATATTTTATCGAGTTTCCATTGTCCGGATATGTCACTGTGGATAATTACTCAAATAGTGGTTACTAGATAAGCTAATTTTTAAATTTGAAAAGATACTGAATTCTATGCGATTCTTTTAAAGTCAGTGAGTGACAACGTAGAACTTTGTACGTACATACACCAGTTCAAGTTGCCATACCATATTAGCACACAAAGATGCAGTTGTCAATTCAAATCCCATAGTAGTACAGGTGGTAGAAGTATTAACAGTAATCGAAAGGAATATAGCTTGAAGATATCATTCAGGAAGTACATTCCAGCGAGGTGAATTCAAAATGAGAATAAAGGTGATGAGGGATTCAGAAGGTTAGGATTCGAGAGAACAAGAAAAACGGATGCACCTGAGCCACTGCGAACGGTTTTGAGCGATGCCATTCAAGGTTTTTAACCATCGGTTACTATCATCTCGCGGATCCCAAGCAAGTAGTCTACACTTACATGACTCAATCCAGTTGTCAGTGACTACATGGATTTGTGCTATGTTTTGGTTTGACTACCCTTAACTTTTTTCCAACCTACTCCTGCACCACATGATATAGCTCAACGAGGCAGTAAAAATGGTTGTCCATTAACAACACATGTCCCAACCACCTCAAATGATGAAGTCCCAATATTTCATCTATCGATCTGCTATCCTCACCTAGTACCCGTTCCCTAACAACAGCATTGCCTACTCGATAGTCCCAAGATAAACGTGCAATGCTTCAGAGACATCTATGATCGAAACCAATTACCTACGAATATCTTCCACTCTTACTGGCCATGTTTCACAGCGATAAAGTAGGATGGAGCAAACTGCTGCACAGCAGACTCATCCTTCGCTTAGTAGACGAACATATCGCCTACACCATAAGGGACACAGTTTGTCAAAAGTCAATCGAACCTTCTGCATCCGTACTGAGATTTCGTCACGCACCAAGCCATCAACAATGACGAGAGTTCCGAGATACTTGAAGCGGTCAACACTCCCAACTACATAGCTCCCTATCACTAGTTCAGGCGCCGATGCAAGCCAATCAATCTTGAAGCAATATTTTGTATTTGGAAGAGGTGGACCACATCTTGAACATGCTTACATTGTTGCTTAAGGTATTCAAAAAAGACTCTACATTTTGTCAGCGTCTTCACCAAACAGAACTATGTCATCGGCATATTCTAAGAAAACAAGAGTCTCCTGGTAGAAAAGGTCAACTACCTAAACGTCAGATGATGAGAGTATCGTCTCTGAAAGCAAGTCAATGACAAAGTTGAATAAAAATAGAGAAAGTGGACGACAATCCTGACGAAAGAGGGATAGGGATGAATAGTGCAACCAGGGTACATTGGAAACTCAGAAGAGATGTGAGCGATGAAAGTTAACAATTTGCTTGTATTGCAAATTGATATCTGAAGACCATGAGTACGTATTATGTGAATAAACTGTGTCTCAACATACATAAAGGAAAAAGCAAAACTCTCCGATGCAACACAACATGCACCAACCAAATCACTCTTGATGGAGATGACTTGGAGGACGTCAACACCTTTACATATCTAGGCAGCATCATCGACAACCATGGTGGATCCGATGCAGATGTGAGGGAGCGGATCGGGAAAGCAAGGGTTGCATTTCTACAATTGAAAAATATCTAGAACTCCAGACAAATATCAATCAACACCAAAATCAGGATTTTCAATACAAATGTCAAGACAGTTCTACTGTATGGAGTGGAAACTTGGAGAACTACGAAAGGCATCATCCAGAAGATACAAGTGTTTATTAACAGCTGTCTACGCAAAATACTTCGGATTTGACGGCCAGACACCATCAGCAACAACATACTGTGGGAGAGAACAAACCAGATTTGAGCGGAGGAAATCAGGAAGAAACGGTGGAAGTGGATAGGACACACACTACGAAAAGCACCCAACTTTGCAAAAGACAAGCTCTGACTTGGAACCCTCAAGGTCAAAGGAAAAGAGGACGGTCAAGGAACATATTCCGCCGAGAAATAGAGAAAGATATGAGAAGAATGAACAAACATTGGACAGAACTGGAATGGGAAGCCCAGGACAGAGCTGGTTAAAGACAACCGGTGAGTGGCCTATGCTCCATTGGGGGTAACAGGCGTAAGTATGTAAGTAAGTAAGTAGACGACCCTGACGAGATGGAGATAGGAATGTATGGTGCGACGGGAGTACACTGAAAATCAGAAGAGATGTGAGCGATGAAAGTCAATAATATGCCTGTATTGCGAATTGGTATCTGAAGACTATGAGTAAATAATATGTGAATAAACTGTGCCTTGAACATTCTATGCACGTCACACTGGATTGAGGTCCTTACAAGAACATTAACACAAACTCAGAAATATTTGACTGACGAGTCCCCAGTAGGACGAAATGCAAATCCCATATTGTAATTTTTATTACTTTTCAAACCAGATCACATCCCAAACTATGAAATCTCTACTTCAATACCACTTAATTTCAGAAATTTACTTTTAATCATCTCATCAATAATAACCCAAATGATCATAAGAATAAAATTAACAACGTTGAATATTGATCAATGTGTATATTTTCTTCCATGATTTAAAACAAAGTTTCACATAAATAAAAAAAGCGGGACATGATTTACTGACTAATATAAGTAAATAAAAAATTATTTGAATGAAAGTATTTTAATTTGTTTTAACTGATGGAATTTCTTCAAGATTATTCCAATTTGTATTTAAAATAGAAGTGAACTGTTCATTCTGAAATTTTGAAAAAAAGTGTATTTCAGAGAAAAAAAATAGCGACAAGGATATCAGAATATTTTTTCTAGTATGTTTATTAATAATACCCGACAGAAAACTGCCACAGAATGCCGTGGTACGTTCGAAATAGGAACGTCTGTTTTCTATCTCTCTCTCTTGGAATGCCCTAATTTGGCCACATGAACATAGTCACTATAAAGGACAGGGGTTGTTTATGGAATTCAGAAGATAAAAGGCCAGTGTCAAACGCTTAAATCGGTTTAGTCAGTATGGAGAATCCATCTATAGCGTCTCTCGACCGAAGCTGCTATCTTGATGTGGTGGTCGGGCTTGCCTATCGTGATGACCCAACCGAGCTATATTGGCTGGATCTTATGTTCCTGAAGGTTCTACCATGCCAGGCAGGTTGATTGGAGAACGATGAAAACTAAAAGCAGCTACTCAAGGTCTGAGGGCGAAGTCGTACTGCTGACTGCAGAGGGGTGTGACAGCAGTAAAGTGTTTCCCTCGAACAACCAGCACCTGCGGCGACACTTCCTTCTCACAATGAAGTAACGAAGAGGTTACAAAATGTCGACCCTAAAAATGTCACACCTCACCTTAGCTCACAGATTTCCGTCTCCGGCGGTAAAGGTGCCCATTAAGGGCTTTCAAGAGCGGAGCTAATAGTCAAGAAAAACCATTTATAAAAAGGCCATGCATGAGTGAGATTGCGCAATATCATGGATTGAGTCAAGTTGCATATTAACACCGTTAGATTCTGGTTCAAAATGTTCTAGCGGTTTATTGTCCGTGTGCGTAACCAAAGGTCCTGGGTTCGTGTTATGTTCGTCACTAGGTACTACACTTGAAGCTATTAGGATGAGTTCACTTTAGTCGATAAACGCGAACGAGACAATGAACCAGTGTCCAGATAGGCTACCTTGAATCCCAAGCTGAAGAAAAAAGGCCTTGTAAGCGTAGAAAGTATATTCTACAAACACCTAGCAATCACAATACAATCAAGCATACAACTCTCGTTTATTTATACATCATAGAAACGTCCTTGGGACAATTACACAAAATAGCACACTAAAATATACACAGCAGCCAATCAAAGCCATGGATTTTCCTGGTGGTAAATGAAATCTCAAGGTCAACCTATCAGACCATGCTGGCAAACGTGAAATCCAAAATAAGGCATTTATCAAGCGAGTTTTGGGGATCTAACATCCCCAACAGTTCGACTCTCGTCTTGTGGATGCGCACTGTCAACTGATGAGTCTCATACTAAGACAAAACGCTCGTCCAGTGATTCCTGGTGTCTAATGATGGTCTACTGATGATCGATTAATCATTTCGCAATCGAATATCAGACAATACAAAAAAGTAACCAAAAAAAAATTACAACCGCTGCTTACTGTGAATTGACTAATTTTCAAATGTTCCCCATCGGTGATTGTAACACCAGGCATTAAATCAATCAAATCGATGGTATTCGGTAAATTGATCGATGCATTTTTAATTTTTTGCAAACGTATTCTATCCAACTGAAGTTGGGCATCATGATCATCATCATCAACAACAGTGAAATCTAAACTATGATTACGGGTTTTCAGTTTATTTGTTGACTAGTAGTAATTAAGAAGAGAAAACAACGAGAATTCATGAGGATCATGAATAAAGAAATGAAAAGGGAAGAGAATTCAAAGTGTTTTAAACATAAAAAAAGCAGACGACTGTGGGAGAGAACAAACCAGACGCCGATGGAGGAAGAAATCAGCAAGAAGCGCTGGAAGTGGGCAGGATACTTACTACACATTGAGGAAAGCACCCAATTGCGTCACAAGACAAATCCCAACTTAGAGCCGTCAAAGTTAAAGAATCGGTAGCCGAAAGCAATTGTGTAGAACTGGAAATGAAGGTTTAAGAGAAGAGTTGGTTCGGAGAATACTGGTGGTCAGCCTAAGCTCCAATGGGGGTAACAGGTGTAAATAAGTAAGTGAATAAGTAAGTAGTTTATGCTTACTGACATGAGTATAATTAGTCAAGTTAGATATTAACACACGCATGGAAGTTGACTCAGTAGTGTTACGCTTGTCACTTGGTACGCTTGAAGCTATTACGAGTTCACCTTAGTCGATAGAACGCGAACGAGACAATGAACCAGTGTCCAGATAGGCTACCTTGAATCCCAAGCTGTAAACAGAAGTCTTGGTAAGCGTAGAAAGTATATTCTACAAACACACAGCAATCACAATACAATCAAGCACATACAAGTCTCGGTTATTTATACATCATAGAAACGTCCTTGGGACAGTCACAAAAATAGCACACTAAAATACACAGCAGCCAATCACAGCCATGGATTTTCCTGTTGGGAAATGAAATCTTAAGGTCAATTGATCAGCCCATGCTCACAAACGTGCAATCCAAACAAAATGAGGCATTTATCAAGCGAGTTCTGGGGATCTAACATCCCCAACAAGTAGTCTATAGGTTGAGTGTTCGTGAACGCGAGACTGAAGGTCCTTGATTCGGAATTGTGTGAGTGGTGAGGATTTATGAATACGCACTGCTACTGATGAGTCCCATACTATGACAAATTGACTTTCAAGTGCTTCTAGGTTTCTTTCTGACGGTGGTCTAAAAATCATTAATTCATGATTTCAATATGAGAAGAAACAAAGTAACACAAATTGTCTAAATAGTAACAATTCAGACTTTGAAACTCGGAAAATGTGAGTGTGAATCCCATAGGATAGTATGGACTATCTTCGTCCATGCAAATACATGATAGTTAGCATGAGCTGTTCCTACATTCAGGTGGTTTAACAGGCAACTAAATCCTTACCCACTACAACTCCTCTCCTGGTCAGTCTATCTTTGAGGTGTGATAACATAAAACTATTCGTGTTACATTCTATTGACTAAGGATGTAGTATGTGTACCTTTGTTAATGCATGAAACTAGATGTTTAGTTAAAATTGTGAAAATGTAGTCGATTTGTTAGAAATGAGAAATTCAAATTGTCGATTACGCAATCGCGATCAATATTACAAAAACCAGTGATTGTCTGTGTTAATGAAAAACAAAGCAGGTCAGAGTGAAATATGACTCTGTTTATTTATTACAGAGGTCAGTCAACAAAGCGAAACATGCTAGAATGATAATCACAATCTTTGTTTTTTTTTGACCAGGAATTTCCATTCCATATCATATACAAAGTGAATAAAATTCCCATTTTACTATTCAATCAGTCAGTTACAACGTAGAACTTTGTACTTGAGTATAAAAGTTCAGGTTGCCATATTGCATCAGCACAGAGACGCAACTGTTAGTTCAAATCCCATAGTGGTAGCAATAGTAGAAGTATTAACAGTAATGGAGAAGATTAGGGTTCAAAGATATAATTTGAGAAGTATAATCCAGTGAAGCAAATTTAGAAATAGAAAGACAGAGGTGATGAGGATTTCATAAGGTTAGAATTTCATAGAACACAGTAAATGCACCTGCGCCACTGCTAACGGTTTTCAACCATGTCGTTCAAGGTAACTAACCATCGGTATACTTTCGTCTAGCGGACCCCAACCACGTAGCCTACATCTACCAACTTGATTCAGTCTACTTCTCAGTGACTTCATGGATTTCTGCCATGTGTTTGGTTTGGCCGCCCCTAACTTTCTTCCAACCTACTCCTACACCACAAAACATAGCCCGTCGAGGAAGTCGGTTGTTAGGCATTCGTAACACATGTCCCAAACACATGTACCAAACATTTCAGTCACTAAAAAAATTCATAGTTTCACCAACCTTCCAATTAACTCCACCTGGAGCCGCTCTGGAGTTACTGCCTATCTCAAGCACGGATAAAGGAGGAGGATTAGGCACAGGGTTGACGAACCCATCTCGTGGAACCATAAAATAGAATTCAGATCATTTAAACCAATCTTTCAACTGTTCCTAGTTAGTAGCTGATAGATCTGTGAATATCGACCACCCTCAAACTGATATCTCACCTTCATATTATGAAATCTGAGCATTTTCTATTCCTTCAAGTAATAATCAATTTACTTCGAAAAATACATCGGATTCGTTAGCCAGACACTATCAACAACAACGTACTGTGGGAGAGAACAAACCAGATTCCAGCGGAGTTGGAAATCAGGAAGAAGCGATAGAAGTAGATAGGACATACACTACGCAAAGCACCTAACTGTGCCATAAGACAAGCCCTCACATGGAACCCTCAAGGTCAAAGGAAAAGAGGAAGGCCAAAGAACACATTACGTCGACAAATAGAGAAAGATATAAGAAGAATGAACAAAAATTGGACAGAACTGGATAGGGAAGCCCAGGACAGAGTTGTTTGGAGCAAACTGGTCGTCAACCTATGCTCCATTGGGGGTAACAGTGTAGTGAACAACACAGGTGGGGCAGCCGAATTGTATTTAGCGGAAATTACAGAGTTACTCAGTAAAATTGGAAAACCATATCGTAAATCGTTCATTTGCAAAATATCAATCCATCATATCGAACTGGACTGTTCCTGTTGCAAAACATCAATCCATTGTCACTATTCATGCGTTTCATACAAATTGCATTGTGTTCTAACTCTTCCTTTCTTGTTGATCTTCCCCCATCTTCTCTTCTGCTGCCAGACATTACGTTCACACTCACGCCATATACTACTTATAAGTAGCTCACATCACAACAGGCGTAAGTAAGTAATAATCACTTATATCCCCGTTACTATAACGCTTACATATTTAAACAAACTAGTGTTTGATCAATGTTCAACTTCACATTATTTTCCCGCGGAATACAAAATCACTTCATTGACTGGCATAAAAATATATTACTACACACTAAGAAAACATGTGATTTGAACAGAAGAAAATACAAACTCACATTGGATATCGATGATCTGGCTGTTCTTATTTGTTGACTATTCAATTTTATATCAAACTGATTGTGAATTGTATTTTTGTTGATATTATTATTATTAGTAGTAGTAGTAGTATTATTAGAACAGTATGACTCGGATACAAAACGCCATTGAATGGGGATTTTATTGCCCAAAATGTTATTATCAATTCCACTGGATGAATATGAATTGGTTGTCAGTGATTCGTCTTGTTTATTATTGCTATTATTGCTATTATTAGCTGGATATAATTTAGGCACACTGATTAAATTTCCTTCATCATCGAAAATTAATTTCCCTGATCCATTGATACGTTTACATTTTAGCTACAGAGATAAATTTTTCGAAGAAAAAAATAATATATTCGAAATATATGTTGCTAAATTGATTTAACTACTTGCAAATGTATAAGTAGTTCACATTTTTACATCAAAATAGTGACACGTTTTGAAATAAGGAACTAATAAGCAAGATTGATCTAATGCAGATGTAAAGACATGGATGAACAAAGCAATAGGCAGTATTTCTACAATTGAAAAACATTTGGAAGTCAAAACAACAACTATCTATCAACAAACACCAAAAGTCAGAATTTTCAATAAAAAAAATGTCAAAACAGTTCTACTGTATGAGACGGAGACTTGGAGAACTATTAAAGCCACATCATTCAGAAAATACACAAGTATTTACTAACATTTCTAATCCTTGACCAGACACAGTTAACAAAAACAACAACCGACTGTTGAAGAAAGTAAACCAAATTTTAGCTGAAGTAAAAATTAAGGTAAAAGAGTGACGGTGGATTACTTTGGGCGAGGTAACAGACGTAAATGAGAGTAGGTAAGTAAGTAATTGTTGAACTGAACAGACAAAAAGTAAGTTGTATTAATCATGTGATATAATAATAGAATTGATCAAAAGTTTCTAGATACTACAAGTCGTACGAAAGATATTGATGCATCATGGCATTTTATTATTAAAGATTCCTATTATTCAATATGATGTCATCTAACAGCGGTCTAAACTTGCAAAACTAACTGTTTGTATTTCAATGAAGATAAGTAAAAAAGACACGTTCCGTTGAAAGACTGAAACTGAATTGAACACCAAGGAATTAATTGGAATTAATTAACTGAAAAAAACTTTGCATTTGGAACACGTATCAATTTTCGGTGTAGAGAACTACTACAGAGAAACTCAAAGAATATCACAGTTAGTAAGTTTGATCAATTGAAAACTTCACAGAAATGAAAGTACTCAATTTGTGGCAAAAATGTAAATTTGCATTACGGGGTTGTGAAGAGGGTCAAGTTTTTTTTAAAAACCACGAATCGATCAATGTCAGACCACCATTAGAAACCTGGAAGCACTGGACGGCTGTTTCGTCCTAGCATGGGACTCATCAGTGGCAGTGCGCACCCACGACTCCTGCACCCCGCAGGATTCGAACCCAGGACCTTCGGTATTGTAGGCGAACGCCTAACCATCGGACCACTGAGCCGGTATCTAACGGTGTTAATGTGTAACTTGATCAATTCACGGAATGCTTCCATGTTTCTAATGGTGGTCTAACATTGATCGATTCATGGTTTAAAAAAAAATGTAAACTATTGAGAAGGCGAATAGTCGCCAATAGAGAAAACATAAATCAGTTCATGAAATTGAGTAAATAACATCCACCGACTCTTATCAGTATTAGAGCTATAGATGGCATGAATGGAACTGATTCAACATAGAATCTCACTAGAAATTCAATGTCACAACTAGATACTACTGAATACAGTTCGTGATAATTAGTAGTATGAGGAAGTTTACGGAGTCAGTCAGTCAGTCAGATGCAACGTAGAACATCGTACGTATGTACATCAGTTCAAGTTGCCATACCACATCAGCACAGAGATGTAATTGTCAATTCAAATCCAATAGTAGTAGAGGTAGTAAAGGTATTAGAAGTAATCGGAGAGGTTAGGATTAGAAGATATTATTATTCAAGAAGTATGATTCAGTAAGAAAAGTTTAGAAATTCAAAACTAGAGGGGTTGGAAAATCCAGAAGATTAGGATTTGAGAGAACACAAAGACTAAATGCACCGGCGCCATTGTAAACAATTTTGAGCCATGTCGTTCAAGGTCTGTAACCATCGATTATTATCATCTCGCGGACCCCAACCAGATAGTCGACAACTACAGATATGGCTAAGTCCACTCGTCAGGAAGTTTGTGAAAGAGATTGATGAATTCTCCATATATAGTTTAGTGACTACTACTTCGTCACGGATAGATGATATCCAGTTGCTTGCCAGTTGTTATTTCATACTTACTGGTCTAATAAGTTAGATCAGCCGATCTTAATCACTGTTACACATTGAACAATCAAACTCCATAACTTACATACTTTCACAATCAGTCTTACTGATTATGATACTTTGAAACATCTAATCTACATAATCGTAAACTATAGAAAACTTCAGTTCATTACATCTGCTACATTTTACTGAATATTTGACCTTTTTATAATCAATACTCATGACCTTGATCGGATCAATATTCAATGAGATTATTGATTTCTAATTGTTTCTGATCTGAACAATCCTAGAGACTTAAATTTTATTATTATTGTTCTTCATTTAGGCACACTCTGATTGATTCACTGTTCAGATCATGTTCATTTGAAGAATATCACTCATATGTAGCATTTTAGTGTGCGATTTAAAAATTAGAAACGCCTATCTTTCGTTTAAAATATTTTTCATCCAATCTAGATGTGAGGGCGTGGATTGGCAAAGCAAGGGCTGCATTTCTACAACTGAAAAATAATCTGGAACTCCAAACAACTGTCAACCAAAAACAAAATATGGATTTTCAATACAAATGTCAAGACAGTTCTACTGTATGGAGTGGAAACTTGAAGAACTACCAAAGCCATCATCCAGAAGATACAAGTATTCCTTTACAGTTGTTTACGCAAAATACTTCGTATTCGTTGGCCAGACACCATCAGTAACAACGTACTGTGGGAGAGAACAAACCACATTCCAGTGGAGGAGGAAATCAAGAAGAACCGCTGAAAGTGGATAGGACACACACTACGAAAAGCACCTAACTGCATCACAAGACAAGCCTTCACATGGAACCCTCAAGGTAAAAGGAAAAGAGGAAGGCCAAGGAACGCATTACGCCGAGAAATAGAGAAAAATATGAGAAGAATGAACAAACACTGGACAGAACTGGAAAGGGAAGCCCATGACAGAGTTGGTTGGAGAAAACTGGAGGGGGGCCTATGCTCCATCGGGTGTAACAAGCGTAATATAATATATATATATATATATATATATATATATATATTATTTTACAAAAATTAAAATTACCATAGTTTCTGGTATTTGTTTCATAGTAGATTTCACTGGCTTCTTTCTATGTCGGTTCGATTCTTGATCAATAATAATGTTGTTGTTGTTATTACTACTACTACTAGTTTCATTTTTAAGTAATCTATTCTTGAAAATGAAAATTTTATTTAGAAAGAGATTAAATCATCAAGAAATTCTCTCACTTCCATTGACAGATTATCTAAAGATGATTTGATTGTGGAATAATTGTTCGATTGGTTCGTTGATTCAAGAATTGAATCTTTTTTCTGTTCAGTGGATATTTTAGTGTGATCTGAAATTGAAGAATAGTTTTTATCAGTCATTTTTAAAATTGTTATATTCGTCACTAGGTACTAACTACACTTGAAGCTATTACGAGTTCAGCTTAGTCGATAGAACGCGAACGAGACAATGAACCAGTGTCCAGATAGGCTACCTTGAATCCCAAGCTGTAAAACAGGAGTCTTGGTAAGCGTAGAAAGTATATTCTACAAACACCTATCAATCACAATACGATCAAGCACATACAAGTCTCGGTTATTTATCCATCATAGAAACGTCCTTGGGGCGGTTACGAAGATAGCACACTAAAATACGGAACAGCCAATCACAGCCACGGATTTTCCTTGTGGGAAATAAAATCTCAAGGTCAACTGACCAGTCCATGCTCGCAAATGTGAAATCCAAAATAAGACATTTAACAAGCGAGTTCTGGGGATCTAACATCCCCAACGAAAACAAAGCAAAGAGTAGCACTGAAATTCATCATGTGTGCTTCGCCTTTAGTGAAGAGCATTTGTCACAGTTGAATCCAGCTGTATCTCATAGTTTATTAATGGTCATAGTGAACTTTGAACTTTCCTACGCTTTGCTATAAATGAGAAATTTATTGAGTATATAGATAGTGGACCAAGCCACTGGTAGGAGTATATCAGTTAGTCAGCTACAATGTAGAACTTTATACGTAGGTAGGTACATCAGTTCAAGTTACTGTACCACATAAGCACTGAGAGATGCGATCGTCAATTCAAATCCCACTATGGTAGAGATAGTAGAATTATTAGCAGTAATGAAGAAGATTACGGAACGAAGATATGATTCGAGAAGTGTAATCCAGTGAAATAAACTTGATGAGCGAAAGATAAAGGTGATGAGGAATTTAGAAGGCTACAATTTGAGAGATTACAAGGAATAAATGCATCTGCACTGTCGCAGACGATTTTCAGCGATGTCATTTTAAATTTCTAAACCATCGGTTACTATTGTCTTGCAGACCCCGAAAGGATAGTCTACAACTACCAAGATGACTCAGTCCACTTGTCAGTGACTTCATGGATTTGCAGCTAGTTTTGTTCTGGCCGCCCCTAGCTTTCTTCCAGCCTAAAACTACACCACAAAACATAACTAGTCGGGGTAGCCGGTGGTTTGTCATAAGTTGTTGATATTCGGAAGTTAATTAAATCAGTCTTCAACACCAATTGTCTATCCTAACCGTATCGTCTATATATGGAGTTTTATGACAACGATGAAATATGTGTCCATGAATTTTTCGCCATTGACTCAGAATGCAAATGTGACAACAGAGAATGATCAATTGGAGTTCTAAATATCAGCATTGAGAAACTATTAAGTCTCTACAAATACGGTATTGCATGCAATACACTGACAATTAATTTATTTATAAAATAGGAAATGCTGACAACTTAGATAATAACATCACTACAAATGAACCAATATGAATCAGTGATAACAACTAATTAAAATCCAAGTTTTGTCATAGATTAAAATTGACGTTCGAAGGTGTAAGCTGCTGAAATCGAATTAAGTACTATAAATGTATTATTTAAAAGATTCAGTCTTAAGTTTGGTCATTGATGTTTATGTTGTAAAGCCATCGCTGTCCGATTTCATTGAAATTATGAACTGATCAACGTTAGACCACTATTAGATACTTGAAAGCACTGGACGGCCGCTTCGTCTCAGTATGGGACTTGTCAGCAATATGCAAGAGCAGAATCAAACCCTCAACAGTTGATATCGTAGAAAACGCATAATTTTTCGACCGATGAGCTGGAATACAACGGTGTTAATTTTCAAATTAAATTCGTCTATAATACTGTGTGATCGTCGTCCATTGTCTTTGGTGGGTAAGTACCTCACATCCAGCATGGTTAAACTCCACTAGTCACAGCTTCTTACTGAAACTCAGAGAATTTCCACGCAAACCTAGTATGAGTCTGAAGAAGCTACCCACTGAAGATAATGGAGGATGGTCATTCAGTATCGTGGATTGATAAAAGTTGGAGATGAACACCGTTGGATTCTCGAGCAGTGGTAAAAAGGCTGACGTTCAAAAACAAAGCCAAAACTCCTGTGTTCAATTCTCGTTTGCAGAGTCATGGATACCCATGGCTGATTTGGTGCATACTTAGACAAAACGGCCATCCAGTGCTTCCGGGTTTCCAATGATGGTCAAACACTGATCAGCTGTACATGGTTTAAGTGAAATTCAACCATCTTCCCAACCATATACTAACGATCATTTTAAACAATAAATAATCGAAATTACGAAATAGTTTTCGTGCACTAAAACACCATAGAAATGAGCAAATCGAATTATCAATTACAACATTTTTAAAAGTTGTTAATCAACAGTGATAGCAATGATAAAAGTATTAGCAGTAATGGAGAACATTAAAAAGCACACAATGAGTGGATGCACCTGCGCCATCGCAAACAATTCTCAGCCATGTCGTTCAAGGTCTCTAACCATCGGTAACTTTCGTCTCGCTGACCCCAACCAGATAGTCTACATCTACCAACATGACTCAGTCCACTTGTCAGTGACTTCATGGATTTGTGCCATGTTTTGATTTGGCCGCCCCTAGCTTTCTTTCAACCTATTCCTACACTACAAAACATAGCTCGACGAGGCAGTCGGTGGTTAGCCATACGCAGCACATGTCCCAACCACCTCAACTGATGAAGTTTCATTACTTCATCTATTGATCTGCCATCATCACCTAATACTCGTTTCCTAACGACAGCATTGCTTACTCAGTTGTCCCAGGATACACGAGCAACGCTTCGGGGACATCGATGATCGAAGACTAGTAACCTACGGAAGTCCTCTACTCCTAACGGCTAACTCTCGCATCCGTATAGTTGGACAGAGCGAACTGCTGAGCAGTACACTCGTCCTTTGGTTAACAAGCGCATATGTAGCCTGCACCATAGGTGACGCAGGTTGGCAAAAGCCAGTCGAGACTTCTGTATCCGAGATCAGATTTCGTCAGTCACCAGGCCATCAGCACTGATGAGACTCCCCAGATAAGTGACTCGGTCTACACGTTTGACTACTTCACTCCCTATCACTAGTTCAGGTGCCGATGCAACCCAGTCTTGAAGCAACATTTTGCATTTCGAGGGAGAAAACCGCATCCCGAACATGCTTGCATTGTTGCTTAGGGTGGTCACATCTTTCTCCAATTCTCGGCGTAATGTGTCTTTTGGTCTTGCTCTTTTCCTCTCACCTTGAGGGTGGTTACAAGTGAGGTTTTGTCCTGTGACTCAGTTGGTTGCTTTTCTCAATTCGTGTCACACCCACTTCCAGAGCTTCTTCCTGATTTCGGCCTCAACTGGAATCTGGTCTGATCTCCCACAGTTTGGTTTTCACTCGCCAGCAAATCTTGATATGGATTTTATGTTGACAACTGTTAATCAATACGTCGTCTATCTTTCAGAGGATAGTTTTCGTGGTTCACCAAGTTTCTGCTCCATGCAGTAGAATTGATTGTGTTAATTTTCGTATTGAAAATTGTAACATCGGTGTTATTTGATAATTGTTTTAAGTTTCAGATGCTCCCCAATTGTAAAAGTACTGCATCTGCCTTGCTAATCCGTTTCTCTACATCTGCTCTAGATCCCTTTGGTTTATCAGTAATGCTCACCAAAAAGAAATGTCAAGGTTTCCATATCAAGAGTAATTTGTTTGGTAAATGTTGTGTTGTATGTAAGGATCTTACTTATTTCCGCTGTATGTTGAGACCTACTAATGCAGAGGTTGCTGCTGTCTACACAGACTGCTTTCATTGGCATTGTTGTTGTGTGTGAGACAGAAACGCTACATTATCTGCGATGTCCGAACCGTCAAGCTGCATCTAAGCTGTTCACTCTTTTCCATACCTTTCATTAACAGGCATTACTAATCCATAGTATTTTACTAAAGTAAGATTAAACTAATAAATGACCTATAGTCTACTTACTTAAGTAGTACGTGTAGAATTTCTCAAAGTTCCATTGAGATGTTATGACTGACAGGATGAAGTGTGCGTATTTACTCAGTCAGTCAGTCAGTTGGAACGTAGAACTTCGTACGTATGTACATAAGTTCATGTTGACAAACCACATCACCACAGAGACACAAATGTCAAATCAAATCTCATTGTGATAGAGATAGCAGAGGTATTAATGGTAATGAAGAAGACTAGGGTTTGAAGATATTATTCAAGAAGTATAATTAAGTGAGATAAGGTTAGAAAGACAAAGGTAGAGGTGCTGACGATTTCAGAAGATTAGAATTTGAGACAGCTGAAAGAATGGATGCAGTTGCGCCATTGCAAACGGTTTTGAGCCATGTCGTTCAAGGTCTCTAACCATCGGTGACTATCGTCTCGCGGACCCCAACCAGGTAGTCTACATCTACCAACATGACTCAGTCCACTTGTCAGTGACTTCATGCATTTCCGCCATATTTTAGTCTGACCGCCCCTAGCTTTCTTCCAACCTACTCCACACCACAAATCATAACTCGTCGAGGCAGTCGGTGGTTAGCCATACATAACACATGTTAGAAGACTGCATTTTGTCAGCGTCTTCATCGAATAGAACTATGTCATCGGCATATTCTAGATCACTAAGCAACTTTCCTGGTAGAAGGTCAACCCCTGAAAAATCTGACGAGCTTAGTGTTAACTCTAAGAGGATGTCTACGACAAAGTTAAACAAGAATGGAGAAAGTGGACATCCCTGATGGACACCACTTGAAGTAAACAATTCCGATGACAGTTCGCCATATGCTCTCACCCCGACCAATGGTGTTCGAGTAGAGAGATTGTACAAGGTTAATGTACTTCTCTGGTACACCTTTCAATGACAGACACTGCAACAGAACCCCACGAGTATGCGTAGCTACTCAGTATATATATCAAGTATAGTTTGATCTTCAATGTTTCCATTGTTATGTAAAAACGCAGAGATTTTATTTACCTTTATTTACAATCTTTTTCAATGTTCGAGATTTCTTCTGTTGATTGGTTATTTGAATGGAATGTTGATCATTGTTGATATTGTCAATTGTATCTTTCTTGGGAATAGTTTCATTTTTTTCAGTGATATCTTCATTTCTAAATAAAAAACAGTGGAAACTATTAAATGGAATGTATTAAATCGTATGAGCCACTCTTATATTACTTACTTACGCCCGTTACCTCAATGGAGCATAGGCCACCGACTAGCCTGCTTCACACTACTCTGTTTTGGGCCTTTCTTTCCAGATCTGGTTAATTTTTGTACATTCTTCTCATTTCTGTCTCCACTGCTTGGTGCAATGTAGCTTTTGGTCTTCCTCGTCTCATTTGGCCTTCAGGCTTGTCTTGTGACGCAGCTGGATGCTTTCCTTAATGTATGTCCTATCCACTTCGAGAGCTTCTTCTTGATTTCTTACTCTGCTTGAGTCTGGTTTGTTTTCTCCCACATTAGATTGTCGCTAATGATTAGTGTCTGGCCAATGGATCAGATGTATTTTGCGTAGAAAACTGTTAATCAATACTCATCAATCTTGTGGATGATGACTTTTGTAGTTCTTCAAGTTTCTGCCTGATTCAGTAGAACTGTCTTGATACTTGTATTGAATATTCTGACTTCGGTGTTGGTTGGTAGGTGTTTTGGGTTCCAGATGTTCTTCATTTGTAGAAATGCTGTTCTTGCTTTGCCAATCCGCACCTTACTCTTATATTGATTATACCGATGATAATTCGTAAATCAACAGAGACCTAACAAGTGTTCAGAAGTTCTGAAAACCAACAACAAAGTAATTTCATTGATCATGGAAAACCGGGACGCACTGGACGACTGAAGGTCCTGAGTTTAAATGCAGCCCGTGAGGTTTGCAATGGCGCAAGTGCATCCATTCGTTGTGCTCTCTCAAATCCTAATCTTCTGGAATCGTCAGCACCTCTACCTTTGTCTTTCTAACCTTATCTCACTCACTGAATTATACTTCTTCAATAATATCTTCAAACCCTAATCTTCTTCATTACCATTAATACTTCTACTATCTTTATCAGAATGGGACTTGATTTGACATTTGCATCTCTGTGCTAATGTGGTATGGCAACATGAACTTATGTACATACGTACGAAGTTCTTACGTTGCGACTGACTGACTGACTGACGTGAGTTAGTAGATGTGCATAGCTGAGAAATCTCAAACTGAGAAGAAACGATGTCGCTCAGTGTGTCCATTAGTGGTCTAACATTGATCAGTTCATGAATTCGATGAAACTCAATCATTTTCACAACTATTCAGTAACAAATGACTAGTTGAAATCATGTTACGACCAATATTAAACCACCATCAGAAACGAGGAAGCACTGGATAGCTTTTACGTCCTGGATATCGGACTCATAAGTAGCAGCGTGCGTTCAAGACCCCCACTTGTGGGAATCAATCTCAACACCTTCGGTCTCATGCCAGAATATTTTAGCTCTGAATCAGTGAGCCAGGATCTAACAGTGTTAATGTCATCGGCATATTCTAAGTCAACTAGCGGGCCTCCTGGTAAAAGGTCCACTCCTGAAAATTCAGACGAGGATAAGGTTATTTCTAAGAGCATGTCCATGATAAAGTCAAACAAGAATGGAGAAAGTTGACAGCCCTGACGGACACCACTTGAAGTGCGGAATTCCGGTGACAGTTCGCCATAAGCTCTCACCCGACCAGTAGTTTTAGAGTAGAGAGCTTGTATAAGGTTAATGTACTTCTTTGATATACCTTTCAATGACAGACACTGCCAAAGAACCTCACGATCCACAGAGCCGAATGCCGCTTTATGGTCCAGGAAGACAACTATTGTAGGACGCCTAAATGTGTGTCTGTGTTCCAGGACCTGTTTTCAATGGATACTGCTATACATTAGACTGAGTTGATCTCCATTGGTCATGTCTTTTCAGAGAAACTTCCTTACGAAGCTATATAAAGTCAATTGTGGTCTAATAGTTGCTTCACTGTGACACCAGTGTTCAGTATGTGAATAAATTTGCTTCTATGTTGTCATTTATGTATTCTAGAATATTCTTATGTTCAATCCTACAAATATTTGTATTTAGTCTTTATTTCATTCATCTTAAATGGTGAGAAGTTTTTCCGATATCAGATCTCATATAAAGTTTGTACAATGTTGTTTTCTTTAACGCTAAATATACTACTGTTTAGGTTGTAAGCATGCGATAAGAAACCACGAAATCAAATAAATCCATGTTATTCTGCAAGCTACTTGCTTTATTCAAATTGATTAGCGGGAAAAACTGTACGGAATTTCATTAATCTTGTCAGAAAAATCATTAGTGTAAGATTTAAATTGGCATGAATGTTGGTTGGCTTGTTTTAAATGTTAATGAGAGTTTTATGAAACTAGTCATCTACAAAAAACTTATGACTATCGAAAAACATTGAATATAGGGTTTCATCTAAATGTAAAATTCTCTTAGGCAGTATATACTTGAGAGATTGTGGAAATGAAGCACTTTTTCGAAAATATTTTCAGTGATTAAAGTGATAGTATTTGACGTGAACAGTTCTAGGTTTAAGTTTCGGAGTAAAAATCAACTCTGAAACGTGGCAGATACATTCAGCTAATGAGTTCCAAGTAGGAGTACCGAATTCTTAATTTAAATTCAGTTTAAAACATGCTAACATCTTTAATATTATCTTTCAAAATTCAATCTATTGTTTCGTTTGACTTAGCAATGAATTTGTCTGGTTGTGGGAACGATGTTTCGTGAACTCGCATCGTTTGCATTAGCTGTGCAGTGAGATGAAGGAATGTGACTAGAGTTAGTCGTAGAGATAAGAGAGATATTAGGGGATGTAAGAAGGATTTGATTTTGACCAATTTGGTCTCGCGTGCTGTTACGGGTATGAGGGCGGTTATCACTTCCCGGCTGCCCGCACCGTGCGGGGTTGTTTCTTGAGCAACCTGAAAAGGAAGATAGATTAGTGTTGGTCTTAGAGACCTGCGAGCGTGACCGCAGAGCCAAGGAGACAACCGCTTGAGGCCGGTCACGCACGACCTTTTGATGAAAGGTTTTTCTAGTATTAGGTCCTCTCTTAAAAGTCCTTAGTGGGCACCCTTACCGACGGAGACGGAAATCCGTGAGGTAGGGTGAGGTGTGGCATTTTTAGGGTCGACCTTTTCTAACCCTTCTTTCCTTGTGAGAAGGCAGCATCGCTGCAGATGCTGGTTTTCCGAGGGAAACACCTTACTGCTGTCACACCCCTCCACAGTCAGTCAGCAGTACGACTTCGCCCTCAGATCTTGAGTAGCTGCTTTTAGTCTCACCGTTCTCCAACCGACCTGCCTGGCACGGTAGAACCTTCAGGAACATTCGTTCCAGCCAGTATAGCTCGGTTGGGTCATCACGATAGGGAATCCCGACCACCACGTCACGGTAGCAGCTACGGTCAGGGGTTGTGGTAATATTTTACAATGTCATAAACTCTACCATGTCATTCAGCAAAACAAACTGCTGTTTTTAATATCACGATTTCTTCGTAAAACTGAGATTTAATCGGTGGTAAGCAGAATATACGGAAAACTTTACAGTCAGATAATCGTAAGTAGCATACAACCTAAAGTATATTTGTATCATTTCAAGTTTTTTAAATCATATCAGTTTAAAGAGTTGAAATAATGAAAACAAATATCAGAGTAGTAAAAGTTGTAGCACTATTAGTAGTAATTGAAAAATTTAAGTATGGATAACATACTTAAATAAGTTAGTAAATTAGCACAATAGTAAGAGCATTCTAAGAAAAAGAGTAAAGTCGTTCATGTACTGTGATTGATTTTGAACTAAGTCAAAATTTGCAACCATCAGCTACGGAAAACACTAGGACCTCAGCCAAGTAGTTTGCGTCGAATAACCTGATTCAATAAGGCAGCTTTTTTCCACTTTACCTCTACACTAACAAGTCGTACGTTCAGATGGACGGCGATCTAGAGCAAGTACTCTGTGTCTTATCGCTACAGTCAACCAGGTTTTACTATTTCACCAAAAATACAGCGATCGAAAAATAGTGAACTTTGATGAGAAAGAATAAGTTGATGCTGAAGAAACCCATACATTTGAGCTAAATTATGATGACATAATGACTTCTATCTTGTAAACACACTTTCATTGTTTACTACGTTCGTTTCATTAGTCAAAAATACAAGGACGGTCTAATAACTATTAAATGATTGCCTATGAACCTTTGTCTTACATTGGTTGACTTTAATCACTAAGTCTAATATGTGACCTTGATGAAACCGATTATTACACAAAAGAATGAGAACTTACATACGTTAGCTCTGCATTTACATACGATACAACTGAGATATTTAAGATATTACTGGCCTACTGCTGAACTCAGCCATCTAAGGTAATTAACAGTGCTGAAAGAACTTTAAAGATCTTGTTTTTAGCACAACCACTAAATGACAGGACTTAGTATTCTAACTAGAGATGTTTTTCTCGGATTCTTGTTACAGTAATATTTCATCACGTTTGATGCTACTCTATTTCCGCTGTTAAAAAGATTATATTTCATTCTGTCTTAGCTAGAATAAGGGGTTAAAATACCAGATAACAGCGCTATTTATTGTCTCAGTCAGTCAGTCAGTTACAACGTAGAACCTCGTACGTATGTACATAAGTTCATGTTGCCATACCACATCACCCCAGAGACGCAAATGTCAAATCAAATCCCATTGTGATAGAGATAGTAGAGATATTAATGGTAATGAAGAATACTAGGGTTTGAAGATATTATTCAAGAAATATAATTCATTGAGATAAGGTTAGGAAAAACAAAGGTGGAGGTGCTGATGAATCCAGAAGATTAGGATTTGAGAGAGCACAATGAATGGATGCACTTGCGCCATTGCAAACGACTTTGAGCCATGTCATTCAAGGTCACCAACAACTGGTGACTTTCGTCTCGCGGACCCCAACCAGGTAGTCTACATCTACCAACATGACTCAGTCCACTTGTCAGTGACTTCATGGATTTGTGCCATGTTTTGGTCTGGCCGCCCTTAACTTTCTTCCAACCTACTCCTACACCACAAAACATAGCTCGTCGAGGCAGTCGGTGGTTAGGCATTCCTATTTATGTATACATTTTTAGTAAACATTAATCCGAATGAACTCGACACGACATCTGAAACGCCTTATTTACCTAACATAACACAATCTAACCTTTACCTGACTCAATGGAATTTTTAAGATCTAACTTTATATGACATTATCACAATAGTATTGTGGTAGTAAGTAATTTCTTAAAAAAAGGTTTTATAAGCATTCAAAATTGATACTGATATCGTTTATCTACCTGCTTCACCAAGCAGTGTCATGATGTATGGGATCAGTCGTATTTTTTTATCTGTTCTCGTCTTGTTTATTCGTGAGTTGTTACGTTGAAGGATTTTTGATTATCATTATTGACCAGTTTTGTCATATAAAGCGTGTCCTTATTATAACGTTCAACCGATCTATGAATACGCAAGTATGTTCGAGCTTTGATCCTCCGATCACCTAAAATTCTTAACAGTTATCCTAGTTTCAAAAAATATCCTCTGATTAACAATAAATCCATAGTACAAGAATCGATTCTCAAATGTAAAACAGAGAAACCTACTTATGTGTAAGGTTGAGGTCAGCTTTCTGTGCTAACTGATGATCTTTCTGAGGTTGAACATTGTCTAAAACCTTTGTATAAAAGGTTTTAGAAATCGCTCCTTGAGCCCATGAATCAATCTTACTTGACTCAGCAACTAACATAAAGAATCTGATAATAATAACTCGATCGTACGTTCATCTTCGAGCCATTCTGGGTTAAGATTAATATCAGGTTCTCCTTGGTCACAGGACATGAACTCTAACTACATATTTTAATTTACAAAATTGTCCAATGATAATTACATCAATGTATTGTAAAAAACACAGAGACGCTTGATGAACTGTAAATGGTATCAGCTGATTTTTTAAATATATCTGAAAGATGTCACTGAGTGACACATCAACTATATCCTGAACGATCTCATAGCATATCTTCTCTGCCAAATCATATTCAATCAATTCATTCCTAAATGTGTAACAATCAAGTTTACGCAAACCATTCGGATTCAGTAAATTTTCCAGCAATCACGTCTTGTGTAACAGAAGGCGCATTAGCATTCTTGGCCTTTTCTGCTTTGCTTCGACTTGTGGATTTCGACATGAAATTTGATTTCGCATCACTCTGTTTGCATGGTGTTCATTAGGGCAAGTGAATTAAAACACATCCAATTAACAATATCTTCCAATATCCAGAAAGCAATATATTTTCACGAGCTAGTATGGCACATATGATTTATTTACGCTGGATTTTTGCTTCTTGTGTACTGCCCCAGATATCTGGTAGTGCCCAAAGTGTGATGGTCTAGCCACTCGACTCCACTAATTCAATCAAATATCCAACATCTCGCGGGTTGCTACATCAAAGGCTTTTTTAATTCAAGTAATCTATAATAAAGGGTATTGTCCGGTCTCAGCTGATTTTCCAGCTTTTTCATACCATGGAAAGACTGGATGCGCACGACCTGCCTTTCCGAATCCTGTGTTGATCTTCGAGGATTTCGTTCTTCTCCATGTACTCCCTCATTACTTCACTCGCCAATCCTTCAAGAACTTTTGAAAGTATTGGTAGTAACTGACTGTCTGTGACATGCTGGATCCTTCCTATTTCCTTTTTTGAAGAGTGGAAAGAGAGTAGCTTGCTTCCATTCAGCTGGGAGTTAGAGTGACTCCAGTGAATGCCTGAACAATACACATCCAGGTGAACTGAGGGCTTCTGCAGACTGATTCAAGGATATGAGGCGAATAGCGTCACTTCCCGATGACTTTCTTGAACATAAGGATTTAATTTTTCTCAATTCTCAGTCAGGAGTAAGTTCGATATTTCCTAGACCATCAGCTGGCATTAGGTTTGAGTAGTACTCTTAACGTGTAGGTACTTGATTTAAATGATCGGTGAAGTTGGTGCTGAAGGTCTCAGCCATCCCTAGGTTGGTAAGATATTTGCCATTTGGACGTTTGCGTGCGCAAGCCTGATTCGCAGGTTTTCTTTTGGTCGTGAACCTAACCAGATATTTTGGGTTCATCTGCATTTTGGCAGCCAGCTTCATCTGGGAGTGTCTCCTATCATTTTGAACTCTAGTATTGAATCTGTTTCTCAATGCCAAGTAAGGACTACATTCAGAATCCTTCAGAGAGATCTTCCACCTGTACCAGGCTCTCTTTTTCACCTGAAGGAAGCGTTCAGTCACTCTCTTTTCCCAAGTTCTTCTCTTTTCAGGTTTGTGGTGTGCCTGAGGTAAATAGTTTAGGATATGATTTTGGAAGATGTCTGAGGGTGTCCGTCAGCGATCATCGACTGTTAACCTCCACCATTCTCGTAGACTTTGGACATGTAGAAGATGCTCTGTCATGCGCGTTTTATTTGCTCTGGCGAAGTAAAGGTAGGTTTCATTCTCGTCGCGCCTGAGTATTTCGTTTACAACCATGTTAAACAAGATTGTGCTACAGTCACTAAATCGTACTGATGTGTGGACGTTAACATCCTTGGCCAGGAGCTGTTGTTAACAAATAATCTAAGTTTGAGGAAATTTCCTCCTTAGCCCATCAAGTTTCGCTGCACTCGAATATCCAACATCTTTTTCACGAGCCAGCGCTCAATCCTTCATCTTAATGTTTGGTTACGGGTATCTGATAGTGTCCAGTGAATGGTAGTCTAGCCACTCAACTGCACTGCTTCTACTCAGTTGGCAGTTATTTATGGATTTGTATGTCCCTTGATATAAATTAGTGGTTTTGTTTCAGGTTATCAAGGTTTCTGCATACCAGAAGTCATCACATTACCAGGTGGAAGATTAGTTAGTTCCAATGTGGAGAATATTGCAATTTGGACTGGTAAGAACAATTTCATTTCTTTGTTCTTGTTACTCACTACTTTGACATGCTTTCAGGTTCCAGTTAATCTTAAGCGGTAACATGGGGTACTGCTTCTTAATTACTTTAGTTATATTCAGTTTAGTGGCTTATTATGGATTTGAGTAGATCAGGATCTGAGTTAATGCAGTTGTCTCATTGCATAAGTTTTTTGAAAACAGCATCTTTTATATTACCAGGTGGAAGGTTGGTCGAAGGGAGACTACTGTTTCAAGAGGTAAATAGTTAGAATTTTTGGTTGGTAATACAGACGAACAAGCACACAAAAGTGCAAGAACTGAGAGGGAAATGAGATAATAGCAAGCAACATGAAGACAATATAATGATGTATGCTAATGACGACATTAGATAATTCATGAAACAGTCACCGAGTATAACTCATCCAAATGGGAGTTGGCGGGTATATTTATCAAGTCTACTGTTGAAGCTATCCACTGGAATTATTATAATCATTTGGATGAAAGAGAAATTCAAACAAGGCCGACCTTCTGTGCAGGATAATGTGAGCCTCTGGCTTTTCTCTTTTTGACTTCTAAGAAATGATGTTGCTTATCAATTCCTCATTGGGTTAAGTATTCACCTCCTGATGTTTTGACATGTTAAATTCTTACTTGTTACCCCCAGCTTATTTTCCTATCATTGTATTGTCCTTTTGAAGTTTATGTAAATCCCTGTCACTTGATGAACCTCCTTATCTGGACATCATTGGTGTAAACGAAAGTAAGTTATTTTTATCTGTATATTGAAGCTGTAGTTTCATCCTATGGATTTCGCTCTTTCCGAAGTCTTTCAACTGCTATGTTTTCACATCCTCAGCCAATCAAATAGTCCTCCGAGTCCTTCACACTCTACAGACACTCCATTTATCCAAGTTTACAATTACTCTTGTTGCTAGAAGAATAATTTACCTTCTTCACCAAGAGATATCTAAACTCTTCTCCATGAAGACCTGTAGGACTGGAGACTAGTGCACATGTTGATTATACTGGAACGGTAGACCTGTTCCACATTTGTAAACTTAAGCTGGTATGTCCAAAAGATTTTTTATGGTATAACGGTCTACAGCATGAGTGATTTCCACGTTGCGTTCACCTAATGTCTAACTCTTCTTTCGTGTATGGGTTTAGAACCTGAATCAGCCCTAGATGTGGAGTTTGATTTTATCCACTGGGTAATCAATGAAAATCAGTAATGTGAAAAGACCATAAATGGTTGCTTTTTAAACTCATGAGGCTTGGATTTCCGGCTCACAACTGCCTTACTAACACCTCAAGTGATATTAAACATTTCACCAAAAGTTCTAAGCAGAGAGTAATTTTTTGATAAGCGGGTGAATATATTTGGTGACTTCAAAGATATAACCAGATGCGGTAGGGCTAAATGGAAACCAAAAACAACGCCAGTTTTAGTAAGTCACTTTAAGATTCTGTGCAAATATAATCCTTTAACATGGTTTCGAGGTAGTAAAATTGTGAAAAATTTTGAATCAGAGTTAGTTTTAAAATCACTTTGTCATTCTTCTAACTATTCGTAAGTACATCTGATTTATGTCCATCAAGTACACAGTTTCGTGTTTCCCACCTTGTTTCATCTTAACTCACTTTCACAGCAATAGTTCTCTGACATGCTTTTTACAAACATTCATGGATTAAATTTTTTTTTTATATCACTCAATACTCACTTTTGATAATCATGGACATTAGGCAAGACTTTGAAGTTGCTTGTCCTCTGTTATAATCTTAGACGTGTGTTTAAATCTACTGGAAACAAAAGACTCACCAACTCTCATGTAACCACTTCATTAAACGTACATTTGTTGCTTGTAAGTTTTCTGCTGGATAACGTTGAACTGACTAAAATATTTACATTTTTATTCTATGCGTCGGGCTTTGCATAATGCACTTCCAATTCAATCCTTTCCAATTAACAGCACATTCAGCAGATAACTATTTTGGTTGGATATATGCTTTGCACCATCCATCAAGCAGGCTATATTGTTTGCAGTCGAATTCCAACATGTGAATCTAAATCAAATCTCTCTGAATTTTTATTCAATACTTTTGACTGGGATCTTCTAGCAAACGCTCTGTACCGTCGGCTAAAATTGACGAAATCTGAAAAGCGAGAATGTCTTAGTATCTAACAGTAAAGGACCTTGATAGTGGATCTTACAACTTGGAAATACGAATTATATATATAATGATCTTTATCAACGTTCATCAATTATCTGTCTTCTTGGTCTAGTAAACATTATCGACCTATTCAGAAGCCTTCGAAAAGTCACTTGGACTTACCGGCTTATAGATTCATGATGTTAGAACCTCTCAATCGAAGCAAATGAGATGCGAGGTAATCCATACACAACAAATGATCACTTGATCTTTCCTATCCCGAAGGATTCATAACCGAGAATGATAATGGGGCCAGTGTTTTTGTGCTGGTAATTACCTAGCTTGATAAAAAGAGGGAGTACGTCAAACTTTTGTTTTCACGTTAGAGATAAATCTGTTGATAAGCTACTTTCTGTGCTGCATCTTTTGATCTATATGTAATGAAGTAAGATGAATTTGCTTACTTGCAAGTGATATGGTGTCTGAAGACTTCAAAAATATTTATGTTTATTTCTATACTGTTTCTTCACTTAACGTAGAGATTTGAATTCCGGTTTCTATCTTTGTTTTTGTGCTGATTGCTTTGATATGTTGGCTGCAGTTTTGTGTGCATGTTTGTCAAAATCCTTTTGCATAAATATTTTGCGATTAACAGGTCATATGAAGCTGTTTTTATAGTCACTTACCTTTTTCCATACTCATTTGTGGAGTATAAGATGATTCATATTCAAGTAACCTAAATAGGTTAGAATCGTCTCTTCGGTTCATCAATCTATGGGTGTTTATCTATCTGGAAGATTTTATGAAATTTGCGCCTTCAGGAAAAATTCTCATGGAATTTGTTTTGCCATGCTAAAAGTAATAACATATTCTCAGTGGATGTGTACAAAGTTGCAATAAATTTATGTTCCATCAATAATCAATCTTCATCATTTTATGCAGTCATCTAAGCGGAATTTTTATGTTCAAGACTTATATTTCAATTGTCAATGCCATCTATTTTGTGAGATTGATGCTGTTAAAGAGACTAACTGAAAGCTGCTCTGGCCACACAGTAGTACTGCGATAGCGAGGGTGTAAGTGATTTTGATGGACTAATTAGACTAATATATATCTTATATACATGAATAACCTTTAATACTGATGATAGCAATATTCT